TCGAGACGTTTTCCACCTTCTTCCAACTCCTTGCCAAAAAATGTGATTTGCCATGCTTCTGCCGTAGTTGGTGCTGTCATCTGGCGATGGCTGCAGGTTGCCAAATCTTCTAATGGATCCATGGTCCAAAGCTTGACAGTGCCATGAACTTGAATGCGCAATGGAGCTGTATGCTTGGACAGCTGTGGTTCTGGAGTGGCTTTTGTGTCGGCTCTGAGACACACTTTGACTCCCTTCAGGTACATAACTTTCTCCAGCAACTCTCTGAGCACAGCTAGAAGGACTTGGTCAGTGATCCAATGCTTGTAGTCAATGCCCATGTCGGTGGCTTCGCTGAAGATGGCGAGAGCATCTTGGATCGCTTGCTGAAGAGCTGCCTTCCAGTATGTTCTCTGATGAATTGCCAAAGGAAAGTCCTTGGGGAAGTCAAGGAAGGTTTCATTCAGTGGATGCTTCCGTGCCTCCTTCTTCCACTCCGTCACAGGGTCTGATCCAAGTGATTCATTCTTGTTCGGTCTTCTGCCATCTGCTGTTGGCCATTGACCGTGGCGGCATTCTCCCGGAATCAAAGTGTGTTCTGTTCCTGCTGGTGCATTCTTGCCAAGCTTGCACTTAGGGCATGCATAGTGATGACTATGCCATACATAGTGAAGACTTCTCGGCCATGCTGGAATGTTCAAGTACTGGACGTCTTTGAGATAGCCAACAATGTCTTTGCAAAGTGCTTGACACATTTGACGTGGATACACAGCTGCAAGAGAGGTGCGGTTCAATCCGCCAACTTTGCCTTGTAGATGTGCATGCTGTCGGCCTTTGTGACCTCCACATCGCTTCGTAGTTTTCTTGCACTTGAAGTTGGCCATCAAAGCGGTTGCTTTCTGGATGGGCTGTTGCAGTTCATCTTGAGCTCCAAACATGCATTGATCACATCTCTGTTTTGGGCGACAGCCATCAATGTGTTGTGGTTGAACTGAGCTGTCTTGAAACATGGTGGAGCCCCAAGGTTGTTCTACAACGAAACCTCTGCCAGAATGTGCTTGATGTTGACAAACCTTTTGAAGAAAATGGTTGCCTGGTTCATCTTCCAGACGTCCTTCCAACTTCGTCTCTGGATTCATGGTGTTCGCTGCAGTGCTGTAGTACTTGCACTTGGGCGACGCAAAGATCACACCAGGCTTCAGGATGTCGATAGCCGTCCAGAGCTTTCGTTGATGTTCAGGGTCATTGATGTTCCAGCCATATCGAAGATCGACTGGGAACGCCACTGACAAACCAGCCGTAGCCATAGTCAAGCTGAGGCGGCCCGTGCCTGAGTACAACTCCATGAAGTGGCACGCTGGTTCCTTGTGGTTCTGGGTGATCTCTTGAATCCATTGGTCAAAGTTGTCAGGCGTCACAGGTCGCCGTCCAGTTTTGGTGTAGAACTCTTCTGGCATGGCACGGTATTCATGACGAAGATCACGAACTTTCTTGTCGTCGTTGAAAGGAAATTGATCGCCGGTGTACGGCGGCATCCAACCATCAAGTCTTCGCTTGTTGAGCCAGAACTTCTCGAGGTCATCTGGCATCAAAAACCATGTCTTTCCTGTCCATGATCTGCCAAGATCTCGATGCGATCGTTGTGGATCTTGCCATGTGTCTTCAAAGAATTCTGGGCCATGAGGATCATGATCATAGACCACTTCTGTGCGACGGTCTGGAAGAAGCTTGTCCAGCGACACAGGGCAATCTTTGGAACATGCAGGACTGTAGAGTGTCCTTCTGGAGACTCGATGTTCTCTGACGAGCCATTGTCCTGAAACTGTCCAAACATCTTTCTGGTTGTTGATGGGCTTGCTGAGTCGCTGGTCTAAGGCTTCCTGTTGCATCGAAGTGGTCATGTTCTGAAAGTTGTTGACCTCAATGGCTTCCGTCGGCATCTGATCATTCTTGAGGGAATCAACCAATTGATCCAAAGGTGCCACCTGGGGACGGTCAGTGGAGCATGCTTCTTTCTCATTTTTCTTCTCATACATGACTCCCTCTGTCGTCACACCAGCTGGTTGTTCCTGTTGGACCAATGGTTGTTCACTCCGATCCGTCTCCGCTTGGTCTGAGTAGTTGTTCAAGAAGAAGCAATGTATGACCTGCGGTTCTTCATCTGGCCAAAGTTGCTTGCTCTGTTGGATGATCTGTCGTGTGAGGAATGCCACATTCTTCCCAGTGTTGTTGGGAATCTTCTCCATGGTTTTCTGATCTGTGGGCAAAAGATAGTGGCCAGAGTCTGTGAGAAGAAGTCGTAATAGAATTGGCTTCTGGTCATGGTCAAGGAGTTCTTTCTTGCAAATGGCCAACAATCCGTCACCTCCTGGAAACCAGTCGCTGAAGAGTGCAGCTTGTTGTTGTCGAAGTGTTGGGTTTCCAACCAATGCTGGGCATAGTGAACCTGCTCCGCCAAGAACATCACCTCGGTAGGATATAGCTCGGTCACAAACCTTCAGCTTCAGCAACACTTCACCAAGCGTCTCGTCAGCTTCACCGGAAATGCCGGAGACCGATGTCGTCTTCTTGTTCCAGGAGATTCGATCTGGTTGTTGGTCTTCTGGAATGCAATGCTCCATGATGTCTCTCAATGTCTCTGATCCCACAAGGCCTGACGCTGCTCCAGGATCTATGAGAAGTCCACGACGTTTCTCGCCCTTGACGGTGTGATACGTTGCAATGCCCTTGTTGTCGTTGAGGAACATTGCAAAGCTGAGGACTTTCTCATTCTTCTCCTGGTTCATGGATTCATGATTGTCAGAAGATGTTGACGTAGTCTTGGAAGGTCTTGATAGCTTGATGAGATCATCGTCAGCATCCATGCGGTAGTATGTCGCCTTGGTGGGTCTGTTGACACTGGTTGTAGATGATGATGTGGCCGTCTGTGAATCTTGTCGAACATGACTGGTGTTCAGAGGAGCTCGTTCTGCATAGCCACTGTAGTAATGGTCTCCTTCCACATAGTATCGCTTCCCTTTCTTGCCATAGCCCTTGTTGCCAAACTTGGACTTGCCCTTGCCGCTGCTCCATGGTCGAAAACCATGTCCTTTGCCTTTGGAGCCATAGCCCTTGTAGGGAGTGCGATACTTGCCAAAGCTCTTGCCCTTGTGGCCTGGATTGTAGTTCTTGCCCTTGTTGTTGTTGGGCACATTGACAGGACAAGCTGTGGAGGAATGCCATTTGCTGCCACAAATTGCGCAGCCAAGAGCCATCGCGTTCTTGCCCTTGCCTTTGTAGTATTCTTCATGAGGTGGATCTGAAGATGGTTCATGCTCTTGGCCCTGTGAGTCGTAGTTGTCTGTGGCAGGCTCTGCAATGTGCTCCTCTTGCCATGAGTCCCACTGTTGGTCGTAGTAGGAGTCGGTTGGAGGCCAGTCATTCCACCATTGGTCATACTGATCTCCAGGGTCAATCCAGCCATCGTCATGTTCTCCATAGTAGTTTCCTGACCAATCAGGCCAGTCTGTCCAGTCTTGCCATTCTTCTTCTCGCCAAGACTGTAGATCGCCATCTGCAGATTGTTCTTCATAGAAGATGTGGTCGGAATCTTCTTGTCCACGTTGGCTCAACCTCAGCGCCAGGGTTCGTGCCTCGTTGAACCTGGCGAGGTCTCCGTGTATCTGCAACTTGATGTCCTCGATGAACTTGGCCGGAAGATTGCTTTGCTTGAAGAAGAGGTAGAACTTCGCTACATCATTCAACTGCAAGTTGCTTCTCGTTTCGGCCTCATCATACCTGAGATCCCATTCCACTGCATACTCCTGCAAAGAAAGCTTTCCTCGCTTGAACTCAAAGAATGCCTCTAATGACCTTGACACCATATCTTGATCGCTCTGGCCAAATGCATCACGTAGAGCGTTGCAGAGGGCTTGAACTCCACTGGGTATGTGATGTTGCAAAATCACTGTAGGATCATTTGGATCCCTGACCTCATCAACACTGAGCCTGACCAAGGCTTCGTCGCCAATGTCAAAACCGCCGTTGGGGCGTGGTAACCTCAAATTGATCGCCAATTTCTGTGCGCGACCAGTCAGCCTGCCGGCCACTAGTGGTCCTACCACTTCGTCTGCTCCATCGAAAACTCTATACCACAGCCGTAATTTTTCAAAATATGCACGGAGTGGGTAATCCGGCAGACCTGGACCCCAACCTGGTGGCACTTCACAGCGATACTCAGTGAGTGGAATGGATCCGGCTGATCCTGCAGGATGCTGAGCCATGATGTTGACACAGTGACAAGGGTAATCCAACTCTTCAAAGAAGACACCCGCAAAATCGTCAAAAATGTCCTTGGGCTTCTGGGTTCGTAGGACTGATGTAGTGCTAAAGCAAATGACCTGGAAATATTCAGTCTTATAGTGGCCAACAAAGATCTCTGCAATGATCGGGCCAAAGACAAATTCCGGGTTGAAGTGATGAGTGCTGAAGCAATTGCCAATGCAGTCCACAGAGAATGCCCCCTGGTGATACGCAAAAATGTCCTCAGAGAAGACGTCGCTACTGCAAGTCTGAAACACCAAAGAACCTGTTTTCCTGGCAGTTTCCTGGATCGCACAGGGACCACCTAGCAAGTGAGTACAGTTGAACCTGGGCTCTTGGTGCAGCTTGAAGTGCTGGGTGAAAACTTGGGGTGATACCAACACCAGAAAAGCGATGAAGAAATTCGTGATGTCGAAGGGATTGGCGCCCCGTAGGACGCTGCAGTTAGAAACCGCTGTAGCCGCTAAGTGGTGTATGGCTGGGCTAAACACCTATGGATCGGTCGCCCCTGCGGAAAGGCGCCGCTACCAAACTCAGCAAAAGGGGATCTTTTGTGCCAGCTCAAGGCCTATGGAAGTGCATAGGTAAAATGTAATGGTGACATGTGATTCATGTCTGAAATGCGATCAAAAATTCACTTAACCATACTACAATCTGTTTAAACTTTCCAAAACGGAAAAGCATACCGAGCCCCAATGATTGTGATGCCTATCACCCGCCTTGGTGCTCTGCTGCAGGGCGGTCAGCACAGCACTGCAGCGATCAGTGAGGGTCACATGTGCTCCCAGGCTGGCTGCCACAAGACCAACAAGACCCGGTCCAGCACCCACCTGAAAGATGTCTGAAAGATGCGGCTATTCAAAAGCTGTTCAAAAGCAATTGCAAAAAATGTGCCACTTGGGATTGGATGCAAACCCAACAAGTAATTAAACTTCACATCATTTTATTGAAGTTGTGAAAAAAACATGGAAAACCATAGGAACGTGGGATTCCGGCAGCACGACACGCCTCAACCACGTTCATCTCCTTGAGGTTCTCATAAGATACCAACCACTGACTGAGGATCTGTGCACCAGGCCAAACGCGCCATCCATGGCTCGACAATCGCGTCGCCTCGTTGGCCGTACTGAGCTTCACCTTCACCGAGACCTGCCTTTCAACGTCTTCGTTTTGACTCGAAAAGGAGAAAGTGTTCCAAGTCTCATGTGATTCATGTGATTCATGTGCAGGGTCAGGGTCTTCTGAGTTTTCTGGCTTTAAGACTTCTGTCATTTGGGTGGCCAACATCGACATCTCGGGCCCAAAGAAGTGCAGGCTGCACACGGCAGCTTCTACACCCAGCTTTCGGAACTTCCAGCGATAGCTTTCCGCAGTCATCAGTTGTAAGATGCCGCGAGCAGCTGCAGCAGCGACCTTCGCATCCCGAAGGCTTTGCACCAGGAAGTGCAACAGATCCGTGGACCCGTCCGATCCATCGGATCCATCGGATCCATCGGATCCATCCAGAATTTCAATGATTTCTTGCACAGCTTCCGCGGACATTTGGGCGCTATGGCGGCATGGAGCTATTCCAATCTCGAACAAAGACAAAGTTTTCTTGGGGGTTGTCCCCCACAGTGTACACTCACTCTCACTCCGGTGCTTTCCTATCAAAATGCACACCTGTGAGCCTGTGAGCCATCAAGACGTACAATCTACTGCATTGATCGGACTGAAAGCATGCTTCAAAGGGGATTAATTGGCCAACACCTTTGCACTATGGCGTTCTGCTCTCTGTTTTGGAATGTAAGATCTGTCAGAAATCAAGCCACCTTCTGGATTCAAGCTGTATGACGATTCCCTGCGGTTTCCTTGAGCATCTTGCCATATCTTGCCCAAATCCCGATGCCAAACTCAGCTTCCGACACCACATGGAACTGGCCTTGGGAAAAGCGACCCGTGACCATTTTCTGGCCATCACCTTTCAGCATCGAGTTGCTGATCGTTCGTTTGAATCAAGCCATGTTCACCTTCAAAAAGTATCAACAAGTATCAAAAAGTCACATCATGGAGAAGTGGATCCAAATGTGGCATATCCCCACCTGACCTCAGCAGAAGCTAAACCTCTGCTTGCCCCAGTGGTCGCATGGACTACACTGAGCCGTCGTTGGAGTGCCTGCCAAGTGCACCGTGTGCTTGGCTAATGCTGAAAGATGCTGAAAGATGCTGAAAGCATCTAAAAGCATTGATAGTCACAACATAATTGAAGCACAGTGCACCTTTCGCTTGCTAAATTCTGAGCTCTCCAGTTGCTCCTACCAAGGATCATTCACCAATTCACAGGTCTCTCTTCAGTGTTGCAACAAATGTTGATATTATTGTATGATATTATCATGTTTGATATCCAATATATCCAGGAAAGCTGAAAATCGGAGAGACCAGCCTCGTCACAGCTTTCCTTGCCTGTGAACATCCCAGATATCCTGCCGGCATGTAGATCATCTGTAGATCCTTAAGCACAAAGATATACAAAGATACCCTCAGAATCCCTCAGAGTCGGCAAGTTGGCCAGATTGGCAAATGTCCTTCCCTTCGGAGAAAGTCTCGGAAGGACCTGGCACACTCTCATGGCTTGAAGCCATTTGAAAGTTGGTGTTAGCATCACGCTGCACTTGAGTCAAGCAAAATGAATGGAGAAAGCTAGCAAAAGATGTTCAGGAACAGTAGCAAAGATGTTTAATGGCACCGTCTCAGTATAATATGATATGGTATAATTGTAAATAATGTTAAATACATTTATCATAATATGCCGTGTTTCTTGTGTTCCATCCTTTTCTCTATCATGATGCTCCAAAACTCCATGACCGTGCAGGAGCCTCACACAGCCAAGTCCTTTCTCTCCTTCACCTTTGCCATCAGGACCTCAATGGAAAGGTTGCAGAAGCATGTCGAAATGGTGCAAAACCATGCGAAGACCATTAGAATAGAAAAAAAACAAAGTTTGCTCTATGCCGAGTAATCGAACAGTTCTATCTCAAGGCGACAAGCCACATTTGTTTGCTTGGTAAGCTTGATTGACTAATTAAGGCGCTTGCTGAGCCAAGTGTGATCAAATCCCAGAAGGGTCTGCCAGGCAGAAATCTTCAAAGGGTCCATGTTCAAAGATGTTCAAACAATCTGCCAACATCTGCCCGTCATGCCTCCAAGCCCAAGAAGTGTCGAGAGAATGGCGAGCAATGCCAGCCTAAAACGGGAAAGAGTGATGGCCTTTACGCCATGCCTTGCCATATCTTGCCATCAAATCCATCAAGCATACTGGAATCTGAGAAACCCTGTGCCTTGACGCCACACTTCACATGTTGATAGTTTGGGACCTTCCAGGCCATGGATTCTGAATGGCGCATGGTTTGAACGTATTTAAACATGGCCATCTGATGGCTTCTCAACGATCCACCTGCCAGCTGGAGTTCTCGTAGCAGTGGCGCTGCATTCTCATGCGCAAACACCTGCTGGCAAATGCAATGAGTTGTGCGGCCGAAGCTCAACAGTTGTGGGTTCCTATGGGCCATGGCCCATAGCTGGGGATCAAACAGCATAAAGGTGTTCAAGATGCAAAAGCTCGTAGCCTGCGCATCTTTCGTTAACAGAAGCACTGAAGCTCCACTGGAACCATGGGAACACATTTGGGAACCCAGTTGTACTTACTAAGTTTCTTGTAGATATTGACAGGAGTTGCCGGGTGACGAGGGAACTCAAAACATCTTGAAACTGTAGCTAGAAGGGCCGCTTATCAACTCGCACAAATGTTTTCCTGATGTGCTTGTGCATACCTTTGCAATCCTCTTCAATAAAGCAGTTTTCAACGCTAATTACTTAGCTTGTTGCCATTCAGCTGGAGAAGTGTTGTTGGATATTGCCAGATCATTGATCATGACCTCTTTGCAGCTTGAGTAATTATTTGGACAAAGTACACAGGGCTGAGCTCGCCTAAGGGGTGCAGAAGATTCACAACCCGTTGAAGCGAGCACCTCGGACGTCAAGATACACACAGTCCTCGCTGAGCCTTGCAGGGCTCATCTTAGAGCCAGGCTGTGCTGCGACATGCCGACGAAGCGTGTGGGCTTTGGAAACGGCATCGGACAGATTCGCCTTGATGCCAATGTGCTGAGATATGAAGAGACTCTGAGATTTGCAAGTGGAGTGCTCAGTGGAGTAGCAAAACTGGCAGGTCTCGTGGGCACAGCTGGATGTATCCTGTTGCATCAGCATCAAAGCGAAAAGCCAAATGACCTCAAGGCTTCTTTGCCTCTAAGTGCCAAACTCTTTGGGCAGCTTTGATTTTCCGCCGGTTCCACAGAAATGCCACGGTGTAGTTGGGCTCTACCTACAACATATCATATAATTTATATTAATTTATATTAATTTATATTAATTTATAATATACACATACATACACATACCATGAATTAATGAGTGGTGCAAAAAACTGGTGCCTCGTCCGAAACAAGACATCCATTTGGATCCATTTGTTCCCAGTTCAAGAGGCCTCGATGGGTGGCGGGATCACTGGATTGATGGGCACGTACACCAAACTGGCGAGGGCAATCTTCTCCACCTGTCAACAGCACTGAAACACGTAGAAACAAAAAAAACAAATCACTAAGAAAACATGAGAAAGTGAAATTTAATCATCACATTAATAAATTGAAATAAGTCAATGAAACTCCTGATGTCAAATTGCCACTTTGGACTTAAAATTTGCGGAGCCACTCGGCCTCCAAGACCTTCCACAGGACACGACAGTTGCCAGCCACAAAGTTCATGGATCTGGCAAAGGCGTCCAAAATTTCGTTGTCAGGGATAAAACAAAATCCACAATTTCTCCAACACGCAGGTCCGACATCATATCATAGGGTTCTGGAGGTCCCAGTATAGGCTCCAGCGATGCTTGCCACACTGGCTTCTCCTGACAAGCGTCTTGTACAAGGTGTACCTCCTCTATCCTGACTCTAGCCATCAATCTGACCTTTCTGACCTTTCTGACCTTTCTCTTTCATCTATCTTTACCATTCCAAAGTTTCTGAGCACTCCTTCGATTGTCTGTTGGACCAGGCCTTGAAGTTAAGACGGGAGCATGAGACTACACGAGCACTCAAAGATACTCAAAGCAGCCGTCTCCGATGGTAAGAATCGCACTCCACCAATCCACCTCACATACAGCTTGTCATTGACTTCCGGGTCATTGTTGACGTAATAAACCTGAAGCTGCTGTGAATACACCGCCATCTATGGCGCTGTGCCGTAAATCAAAAATAAAAACCTGGACCCACAACGAAGCGCACCACGCCAGCATGAGTTTGGAAGCACTGCCCCGGATCGAAGATTAGTTCCACCTTGTCAGATCAAAGCGTGCACAGTACATCAAGGTGCAGGATGCAGTACGATATTATTGAGCAGTCACCAAAAGTCTCTGTGATTGATCAGAACCACAAGCTGTTTTCACGCGTTTCAAGAGCCCCCAACTAAAAGCTACATTTCTCACATCCCTTGCTCTTACAATTTCTTAGATATGTATATAATAGATATGTAACAGTATGTCACCATAGAATGACAATGAATGACATGTGTGCATTTGACAGAGATCTTTTTTCCGTTCCATGCGCTCTTCCTTCTCGTCTTCCACAGATGGACTTCGCTTGCGCTTGGATCGCTTGGTGCACACAGAACTCATGTGCACCGAGCTTTCATGGTCACTCAGTGCACTCATCGGGGTCAACTGTGTGATGCCCCATCGGGCAGTGGAAAATCGGAGCTGATTGTGGTACATTCGAATATTCCGAAGCTCATCTTCAACGGCACTGGAATCACCACCTGCATCTTTACTGCCCCAAGTGATCACCCGGCCATCAGCTCTAAGAGCGGCAAAAGCAAAGTGTGTTGAGTGGATCTGTCGCACATTTTTCAGCTGCTCTTGCACTTTCGAGCTGTCTCCACCTGCCTCAGCGCTACCCCAGGTGACCACATTGCTGCCCTCATCAGTCACTGCATCAGTCGCCTTGATGGCTGCAAAGGCGAAGGCCGAAGCCCGAATGGATTGAACCGCTGTGAGGTGAACTTCGACTTTGGAGGTGTTGCCTCCGCAACTGTCCTTCCCCCATGCCACAACTTGTCCGTCCTTCCGAATGGCTGCAAAGGCACCCTTGCTGGCTTGAATGTCTTTCACATTTGTTAGCCATGGTTGAATGGTAAGGCTGTAGCCACCAGAGAGTGGACAGCCCCAGGTTAAGACATGACCGTCTGAGCGCAAGGCTGCTAGCGCCCCTTGAGTATGACGAACCACTTTGAGATGTCGGAGCTTCTTCTGAATTTCAAGGGTCGTTACACCTCCAGCGCAGTAACTGCCCCAGGTCACAGCAGTGCCATCTTCTCGAATTGCCATAAAGGCGTTGGGGAATGCCTCGATGCTTTGAACGTTAGTGAGATCGCGGGAAACCTTTTCATCTCCTCCACGAGCTTCACTGCCCCAACAAATAACTCGACCATCCATGCGCAAAGCTGCGAATGCTGAATGCGAGGCCTGAACACTCTTGACCTTCCTCAACTTGTGCTGCACAGAGCTACTATCTCCTCCAAAGTTTGGAGCGCCCCAGGTGATGACAGTGCCATCTTTCCGTGTTGCCGCAAATGCAAAGCGTGACGCCCGGATGTGCTGCACATTGGTCAACCTCGCTTTTACAGCGCTGCAATCACCCCCAGAGCTCGGTGAACCCCAGGTGACCACTTGGCCATTGGACAACAGAGCAGCAAAGGCATACGCTGAAGCAACGATGCTTTGGACCTGCCTCAGCTGCCCCTGAACAGCGTGGCAATCACCACCTCCAGCAGCACTTCCCCAGCAAACCACCGTTCCATCCAGTCGAATAGCTGCGAAAGCACAGGAAGACGTCGAAATCTGATGCACGCCTGGCACGCCTATCAGCTGGTCCTGAACTGCATCGCTGTCACCACCACTATACTCATCTCCCCAGGTCGTCACGGATCCATCACCGCGAATCACCGCAAATGCCGTGTCGTTTGAAACGATGGTAGCAATGCGCTCCAAGGCATTCACAGAGGCACCATCCCGCAAGCCCACCTCCTGTAGAGTGTGCCAACCTGGCAGGATCCCGCTGGCAACCCTTAACCCATGCGTAAACATATGTAAACATCATTGGGACATATAATATATAGAACTCACCTAGATCCAACATGATCCAACATACTTCTCAATAGGATCATGCTCTTGATTCGATTGCTTGAGCCATGTTGGATTGTTGGATTCAAATTTTATGGGTAAGATTTGGGAAGGATCCACATATATATCAGTCATGCATCCACATGGATACATATTATTGGCAATTTCGGTCGCAATGCAACATGCTGTGTTCGACTCGTTCCGAGCGCCTGCCAAGAGCTGCCCTGATGTGGTCGTCAAGGAGCTGATCCCCTGCTGCAGTGCATCCTGCGCTCTTTCCAGCAGCTCGTGCACACAGCAAGCTGGATCTATTTGTACCGTGGCTCGGCGATCCCATGCAAGCACCACATGAATTGAGAGCATAGCTGGAACGTAGCAACGTTCAAACTAAGGAAGTCAAGATGTGTTAAGACATCAAGTTATGAGTGGCCTTAAGTTGCCTGGCTAAGGCACTTTGCGCAAGCTACATTGAATGATGCCTTGTGGATATTGATTTTGATTCTGTAGTTGAATGATCGATAGTCCCTCAAATAGATCGAATGACAGCAGAAAGTCGATTCAGCGTGCTATAAAGTGCAGAATCTTGATCATAAATCGTGACCATAATCATCAACACCTACGTTGGTCTTCGCAGCGAATTAAGTCTCAGAGCCCAAAGCACCACAAGTCGAGTAACAATAGCATACAATAGCAACAATCCAAACAGAAGCCAACAAGAGTTGAAGAGACTGCCATCTTGCAGGAAACATGACCTCCAGAAAATCGTTCTGTTGGACTGAGAGCACTGCAGACTGTTCGCAATTCTTTTCGATGTCGAACTGTGCGGCATTGCGAATCTCAGCTGTGGCCGCAGCAACTGGAAAAACTCTCCATGGTTTGCAGAGACTGTCCTTTTTGACTTGGTATGAATCAAAATTTGTCTGCAACAACGCAAGGCCCGAGCTGCAACGTAGGAATGGTAGACGGGCCTGCAACCGCAAGCCCAAGAACCCGGGAACTTGTGCTGTCAAAAATACATACACATAGATACACATAGTACTTTTACAAATGATAAAGCTTTGGGTTCAGGGATATGGAGCTGGTTTGCCAACAAACAGTCTCAAACACTCTCAGATGAGGACTAGTTACTATAGGATTTTTGCAGGATTCTATTGGTTCCGTAAGGGGCAATGTTACAACTACACGCAACTTGTACTGCACATGATACCATGTATGCAAACCCATCCTTTTCTGCCTCAGACTGACAGCCAGTTGAGCGCCTGCCAGACTGTTCAATGGCTTCCAGCATCTGCCTCGGAGTGGCCTCAGGATGCCACAAATCCTCAAATTTTGAAGATTGGGACCAAGTGGTACACAATGGTACAAACATGTACAAATGAATCAAATGATACGAAGATGTACAAACAGAATCAAACTAAGGCAACATAAGGCAACTAAGGTTATCTAAGGTTGCTAGACTCTGCTAGACTCTGCTAGACGTCTAGAACATCTTGAGCCAAGCTATGCCAAGCTACACCTAGCCAGGTGGGCAGTCCAGCTGCATCCTTTCGCACAGATCGAACTGTCGGCTCTTTGAGTTGCTCTGCACCTTGGCGGTGCATGGCACACTGCATTCCGTGTGACCTGAAACACGGTGGACTGTTGAGGCCAAGGAACCATGTGAACCATGGCTGCCATGCCGTTGTAAGCCCGTGCAAAGAGGTGAAGATCTTGTTGTTGGCCAGCCTGGATCTCGCTTCTCTGAGGGGCTCACAGTTCGAGACATCAGCAGTAACTGAGCAAACCAAGCCGAACCCAGTGACAAATGTTCACATGATGTTCACAAGTGTTCCACTGGTTTAGGAGTAAGTAGATGGAAGCAGTAGATCTGTGACTGCTGAAGTCAATGTCAAAGATTGATGCCTCCTCGCGGAATCGGCCCGAGGAAAAGCTCCTCCTGCTATAGAGTGTCAGATGAATTGATCGTTGATCGTTGGAAATCTGTCAACACTGAAAGGTCTGTGCTATGCTCCTGCAAATCCACCGTGCTTGCGCTTGTGTCAACAAGCAAATCGATCATGCCATTTGGCGTCCAGGCTGGAAATCCTGGAAACCAACTGCAAAGCCAACATAATCAACATAATCAACATAATCATACATAATAAAAATAATCAACATAATCAACATAAGCTAACAAGATTCTAACAAGATGTTACAAATGTTACTGTGGTGCAATGCATTTTTTCGGCAGGTCCGTGGTTAGATTTTCTCTGTGCTGCGATCCGGGCCTCCTGGCATGTGCCGCAAATCAGCAGCAAGTTCTGGGATGATGTCTAACAGAGCCATCACAACGGAGGCGAGGTTGGAACCTGCGGATGTGAAGCTTTTGGATTGTAGGATAATTCAGGATATGACGAAAATGAAACACTGCCAAACTTCACAAGTTCACACTTCTAAGCAACTTACAAATTATCAGAGTCGTAGTTCTCACAAGCTCGGAAGTAGAAAGTTCGGCACCCTTATCTGTGATGGCTCTGAGCGTTTCCTCAGAGAACCGTGCGTGTGAGTGTTGGAAGTCAGCTGTCATTAAGCATCGTCAGGAAATGCGGGTGTCCAAAAGTTCTGACTGTGGGAAAGGAAAAACCTCCGGTGGGGTTGCATTGTCATATCTACAAGCTGTCGCATTATTTTTGAATACCTTTTTGTATGTGCATATAAATATACAATAAATCATAGTACAACATAATCTATGGTTAAGTTATATAGTCAATCTTTGTCCGCATCTTTGTCCTATGTCAATCAATTTCAGACCTTGACATGACCGCCATGCCGACTCCACCGAGGAACTTTGAGCTTTGGCTCATCCAGCTGATCCCTTGCTGTGCCCTGTTTCCAGGCTCGATGCTGCACATCATATGCCTGGATAACTCCAAGGGCTTTGATGTCCTTCCCAAACCAGCCAGCTTTTGGAAATCCGACAATTGATTCGATGCACCATCAAAATGTCCAAAGAAATCAACAAATCCTTCTACAAACAGCATGATCCAACATGAACATCGTAGAAATCAACTCTGCACTTGTTTCACCGCTGTGTCCTGGAACGCTCGGCGTGCGGATTTCAGCGTCCCCCGCTTTTTGGGCATGACAGGTTCATGTTGGCGCAAAGGGAGAGTGGACTCCGACACCTCTACGGAGGAGTCGATCAGATTGCAGTAGGACAGCGTTTTCGTCTCAAGATTTTCAAACAACTGTTGGTATGAGCTGTTTGAAGCAGACTCCTCCGTTCCAAATTGGCAGCGGAACAAATAGGCTGCCATTTCAAAATGGGCCTCAAGGAAATGGGCCAGGCTTCCAACAAACTCGGACGCAATGTATACAAGAAGCCGCTCTTGTGCGCCAGTCGCTGATTTCTCTATTACAGCACCCAAAGAGAAGAAGACATCTGACAACAGAGTTGTCGTCTCCCTGCGCAAATCCACCAACAAAGGCTGTTCACATCCTTCGTCCCAAACATCTGCATCCATCTTGTTCTCGAGGCCATCTTGAACATCCACATCCAGCACTGCCGCGTCCAAAGGTCCTTCAACAAATGGTTTTCCTTCAACAAAGGGTTTCAAAAAGAACTGCACTGGAAATTCCTAGAGTCGGACCTCGGCTTGTGGCACGCCTATGGGATCCCATGGCTGTCGAAGTCTTGAGAGTTTAGAACATGTCATCTAGATCAAGGGCTTTCTCGTCCTGCAGTGCCAAACCAAACCTCCAGAGTGACAAGCTTCACAGCTTCACATCAGTGAAAATATCAGCAGTGGATGGACTGTCTTGAGAACTGTTGGAAGCTGAGTTGCCAGCTCCCAAGGCCAGCCATTGAGGCAGACATTGAGCTGGAATCATGTACTTCGCTCAGAGTGTGCAGTTGTGGTTACCGAATTGTCAAGAATCTACAGTGTCTACAGGGTGCTGTGCCATGAACGATTGGTACATAATGGTACGTACATACAAGCATGTTCATGCGGCAACCAGTTCTTGTTGTGACCAGTTCTTGTTGGAAAGGTCCTTCCCAGACAAACGCCTTGTGCTGAGCCTATGGCTTGGAACCACAATACAATACGGCCTAACAATGAACATATGGATATTGCAATGTTTCAATTTCAAAGCCTCCTAGGTCCTAGGAAATCAAAGCAATCAAATTATCATATAAATACAGTAACAAATAGCAATAAACCACACAATACTATAGGAGAATCATGGAGAATCACATACAATATCTATCAGAAACTCTCTGGAAACAGTACGGTTAATATATCTTGGCCGCACAAAAAAGCTTTTCCATACAGCCTGACACGTCATCGGGCGTTCAGGCCTTTTGAGGACTCGTGGCCTGAACTTTCTGCCTAAATACGATGAATATCTACATGTGAGACAGTTGTGAAACAAATGTGTGAAACTCCAAGAGCCAAATTCATTCAAATGATTCAAATCCAAACATCATCTAATGATTATCAAACATCCCGAAAAATCTGTAAATATGTCACTTGCTGCGTCCAAATCTTGGTGAAAAGATCCTCATGTAAACGTCTGAGGGCTGATTTAGCCCTCATCAGAAGGGATGATGTCCCCCAGCCAGGCGAATTCATCTCCAGATGCCGTGGCCTCCAAAAATACTGATTACATATGATTACATTTTATCATATTCAAGGGATCAAAGGTTTGACAAGATGAATCTCATCGGGTTTTTGCCCACTGCCTGCCATTTTGATATATTTCCAAGATAACTTCAAGATTATGTTCATCCATTTTCCAGGGTCCAGACGCTCTGAGAAGGCGCAGAAGCCTCAACTGTACATCCCATCTTTCATGTTTGAAAGAGGACCGCTTTTGCGAACAAGAAACCAACTATTGGAAAACACCGTTTAGAAATGCTGTGAATGTCAAACAACTATAGAACTGCATCTTGCTGAGTCGCGACAAGCACTCTGCTAACTCAGTTAGATTCACAATCCAGGAGGAAACTGTTCGACTCTTGCAGGCAAGTTGCTGGAGGATTCACGCCTTCTTGTGGGAAGGTCTTCTGGTACAGCAACTGCACCTGCCAACCAACCCCCGCGGCACATACTTCACATGTCACGCAATCTCATGTGAATCTGCAACGGCAACAGCTATAGCAGCCACTCACTAATAAGGCTCCCACCACACGTTGCTGCGACAGAAGCAACTCCAGCACCTCTTGCTCAATATTGGAACAGCTGGGGCTGCATCAAGCATCCATTGGCCCACTCATCTTTCCACAGGGGTTCTAAACAAAGGCTGAAGGTGGTTGAAAGTGAGATTAAAGGGACTTCTCTATTTTCAAGTTCAAGCAATCCTCACACTGCAGAATGTCAGGCAGAACATGCTAAGCATCCAACCCTTTCCCGGTCTTGCGCACTAAGCTCATGCACAGACCTGAGCACAGTGGGATAAGTCGCTTAGGCAAATGTCGTCTGCTCGTCAGCTAGCAAAGCGATCTAAGAACATCCAGGAAAGGAGCACTGTGGACAAAGGAGGACCAGAGCCACCAGGCGATGTTGAGGGATCCTCAAAAGCGAAAACCGGGGGTGTTTCTCAAGAAATCGATTTTGGTCACGAAATGTCATGTTCTTGCAGTGCTGCCAGAAGCACATGGCAGTCTGTTTGTTTCAGAGCAAGAAAGCTGTGTCCTGGCCCTCTGCCATCGCCCGCATCCTTAGACTTCTACAAAGATTGGACGCCACAGACATCAAGACAACCTGAACCTCCTTTTCTCTCCCAGCTGCTCTCTCCTTTTCTATCAACCCCACATCAGTGCATCGTCCATTCACATCCACTGCATTCCACTGCCGCGCCAAGGGGCCGCAGGATCTCGGCCTTGACATCATCCAGGCTCTGTCGCAGCAGAACTTCCAGCTCCGTGCGTTGTTGCATCATCTCCGCCTGAAAAAAGAGTGACTTTCAGAGACCCAACATGGTCCCAACATGGTCCCAACGCACTGCATCTGTGAGATTAATTCACTGCCAATTGCAGGCGTTCCAAAGACAGACGCCGAAGCCCGTGAACACTGATGTGATTCGTAGAACACTCGTTGTCAATTGTGTGCTCTTGCAGCAACCAAATTGGCCTGTTGCTGCTTCAAAGCAACGACTGTGCGACGCTCCTTGGACTGCCGGTGCCACATGTCATGCTGCAAGGATCAATCAATGAAAGACACCATTTTGGAATTTCCTAATCGAAGTTTCTCAGTCACCACTGTCATAGTGTTGCTAAGTCGAAGGCAGCATCTACCATTCGCTTCAGCTTCAGAGCTGCTTCTCTGAGTGCAACCTGCAGGGGGCCAGAGGTCATGCCATGGGCGGATCACGTTCTTGTTGGCTTACTTAGAGGGTGGATCCTCATGGACACTCATCAGGGAGGCTCCCTATCATGGGCACATTGACTGTAACACTAATGGAAAGAGTCATGGGAGCGCTTCTCCTTGGGAAAAAAGGGCAACCGCGCCTCGCGTTCGTACTGCTTGTTGTGCCTTGGTATACAGGATGTACAATATGTAGTCCATAGTATTGTCCATAGTAAATATTGTTCAGTACTATATATTGTTTGTGTATTTACAGAATGAATCATATGATCACGTAATCATATACCTATATTATATCATTCATATATTCATAAGGATGTGTATACATCGTCTTTATACATCTTTATACTACATTTCATATACGCATGCCACAGTCATCCACAGTCCAACTCCCTGCATGGATACTGAGTTCCGTGCGTTTGCTGCAGCCTCGCTTGGTCTATCTGCCTCTGTGAGAAGCTTTTCCTGCAAAACACAAAGGAGCTCTGCCCTGACTTTGCCTTTGATAAAACAGAAATTATAAGCAAAGGCAGATATCAGAAAATATAAGCAAGATCAATCATAAGGCGGAAATTAGTAGGACTTCAAGGATTCCGGGCTCATCTAATTGAGCAAAGAGTAAAAATTCTGGAAATCCATGTTCCACCTGCAATATTGCATCCCTCCCCCAGGACGCCTCCTTGGTTTCTCTTGTTCAGTAGAGGACTTCGCCTCTGGCTCGGCCTTTGTAGCTGCGCTGCTTTCCGTTTCCAGCATGTTTGATCAGTGAAGTGCTTTGAAATGGCACTGTGAGCTTCCAACGCTCTCTTTGCTGCCGGTGAACTGTTGTTTCAAGCCTTGCACCTCTTTCCTAGCACCGGCGTGATGTGCACATCCACAAGTGACATGTTGTCATTACACATATATTTGACTACAATGACTACAATCTGCAATAGTCGCACCATCTAATCTAGTCTAATCTAGTCTATGGATCACTTGCCAGAACGTATCCCCAATTGATGAAGGACTGTACCTAGATGATCCTAGATGTACCTAGGATGCTTCTGCAATTGGGGACACTGATGGCTGGCAAGGTCGAGCCACCAAGTTTCATCGAAAGGACATGTCACGTCGGGAGAAACAACAGGAACTCGATGGAACTCGGCCAGAAAGACTGACATGGAACTCGAAACCAAAAAAGAAACTCGCGTTAGATCCAATTAGATTCAATTAGATTCGTTAGATTCGTTAGATTCGTTAGATGATAATGATGAATAATTCGTTAGATAATGATGATACCAGTAGCTTGCAGCCATTTGCCCCTCCTCGACAAGACTAGCTCCCGCAGAAGCGCTTGTCGGTCATCCTCTCGGGTGCGCAACTTTTCCTGAAGCCTTGGCGTTGCCAAAAGTTTCAGCTTCTATCAGCTTCTAGTGATTTCCTGTGCCAAGTATACTATCAGAAATGTACTTGTCAGTTTGCTCCTTTCCCAAGGGCGTCAAAAATCAGACTGTTTGTGTCTATGGATGCACTGCCAACACTGAGGTACACTGAGTCTGCCAACTTCTGATTTTCAGCTGTCAGCTGCTGATTCTTCTTGTCAAAGGTTTGTGCTAACTCCTCAAAAAGTCCGCTCAGTCCAGGAATCCAGCTGAGTAGCAAGAATGTATGATATTGCTTTATATGGCGGTTGATCTAAATTCCTTTATCTGAAAATTGCCATTCTTCGCAAATAAAAAACTATATACTTTCGCGAATCTTTCACGAACCCCACGTTTATCTTTCGCGGGGGTCTCAAAATAAAGTACAGTAGTTCGCAAAATCTTTCGCCCCAAAAAAAATACTATCGCGAACTCAGAAAAAAACAAAATCGCGGGGTCTCATGTTGGAACCCTGGCGGCCTTTGTAATGGACAAGCTCTACATGGACCTTTAGATCGACAAACATATATATTACATTGCAGCAATGGAGACTGCAGGCCCACTCAGTTTGACAACCCTGCACCGTACGCCACACTCACCAAAGGGAGAGCAGTACCTCAAGAATCCTCAACAAATAGCTTTGCGAACTCACTAATTGTGATTATAAATTACATATTATGATTCCATAGCATACAAATTGGAGAATGAGAATGAACTTTGGTGCAGAGTGGTGGTATGAAGAGCTCTGACCGGAAATAATGCCAAAACGGCCACAAATGGCCACGATGGCCACGTTTCGGTGTACGTTAGGAAATTGTTGGCTTAAAGTCCGCAGAATCCAGGCAGCATCATTGAGACAAAATGACACGACTGATGGATTGATGGACGATCCATTGACATGCGGCATGCGCATCCCAAGTATCTCCTGAGTCTTGTGCAACTCAGCCACCTGAATCATGATCGTGCTGCACAGGTCGAAAAATGGCAGGACGTCGAGATCTTTTGCAATGACAGAATCACTAAGTGGAAACACCGTCATTCCCAAGAAGAAAGTGTAAACACTATGAGAATGAAGTGGAAGGAAAACAAAACGCATGGAGCTCTGATTAGAGCGACAATGTATTGGCTTGCCTTGTCATGGTATGAATGAAGCGTACAGGTCAAAAACAAGGAAAACATTAGAAAATAGAGACAACATCCTTCTCATCCTTGACTGAACTGAGCGATAGATATGGTTCACATTGTTCAAGGCCAAACTGCAGCGCAGATAGCACAGTGCTCAAATGCTCTAAGCACTCTGCCACTCTGCGATGATGAGCTTGCTGCCTCAGGTGAAACATGGCGCAACCAAGAGAAGCTTCTCTAAGCTGTGGACGAATTGGGCGATGCAAGGGAGATGAGCTATACAATCTGGTGTCATAATACTATGTATGACACGTCATAACAGTTTATAACATGCACACACAAATACATACTATACAACAAATGTTCAAAGTTGAGCACGGTGTTTCATGCATTTTGTTTCGTGATACTTCATCATTCTGATGCGCGGCTGCAATCTTCAGTCCGTGCCGAACAGTGCTGCACCCACATTTCTTTAGGTTTGAACTCTGTGGAGTGTTCGCCCTTCCGGCTTCGTTGAGCCTCAAGGTCCTAACAATCAAAACCATTTCAAAACCCTCGACATCACTCGGCATCATTCGGCCAATATCAAGGCAAAGCAGTTAAAGGTCAAGCAATCTTTGACACTCGCCACCAGTGCTGTCAGTCCCATGCGGTGTCACGCAGCGTCTGTCCTTTGACACTTCCTGTAGCCGTGCTCTAAAAGCTCTCATCAAATCCTTCTCTTGATCCTTCAGCTTCCAAGGTGGCATCAATCCCTTTCTCATGGTACTCCAATCTGGGCTTTATCATCTCTATAATATCTCTATAATATATCTTTATGGTAAAGTCTATGGTAAAGTCACTGCCTGGTCACTGGTCACTGGTCGCTGGTCACTGGCTGATGGCCTGAAGAATCTTCGCCGTATTCGTTTGAATGCACTCGAGTCCAGTGATCACCTCAAAGCACCATTTCGAGAAAATCGCCACGTCGAGACCGTCGAGATGTCAAGAAAATGACTGAGCTGCAAGCGCTTCTGTGCATGTTGCCAATGGCTTCCATGCGTTTGCCTCAACGCATTTTTTCATTTTCTGTGCTTAAATAATCTTAAATACAGAACATTACACAACTATGTACTGTAAATGTATGACTCCATTGTTTGAAACAAATTGAAACAGCTGGTCATTGAATCGACAAAATTGACGTTTCAAGATCTTGAAGATCTCGGAGCATCTGTTTGAGACTTGCTGACAAGTCACTGTGCTCATCGTTCTCGGCACCTTCCAACAGACGCTTCTCAAGTGCCTCGATCTTGTTCCTGAGTCGTCTCGGGAAGATGTTCAGCTGATTTTCAAAATGGATACTCTGGGACGAATTTCAGTGAAAATATGTGAAAATGCTACATAACAATAAGACGGCCCCAATCTGCCCCACAAGTATGTCTACGGAACTAGTTCGTACTCCCACATTGCCTTAACTAACATATTAATATTCGTGGATAGTTTCGTCTGCTGTCCAAGTTTCATTGTGGCTTTCTCGCGCTTGACCTGTCATGAGGTGAGCCTGTAATGGTGTTAAAATCGTCACTAAATTCTAGTCAATCAAAGCTGTCCAAGTAAAACTGAATCAACGTTCACAACATTCCAAGCTGTCTTAAAGAAGCAAAGGTAAAAGGGTCAGGCAAAGCCGTGGACCATTCAGCATTCAACAGGCCAGTTGTGCGAAAGATGCAACTCGATGTTTGTACCTCAAGAAAAGATGAAACGAGTGTCAAGTGTCATAATGGTACTTTGCAATTTTAAAAAATGATAAAAATGTACATTGGAAGATTCCTGCATCCCAAGATTGGAACTTGTATGAACCCTCTGTTCAATTCCCAGCAGGGCACTGATCCTCAAGGGTTCTGTTTTTGTTTCTTTCTTCATCGAGCTGCTTCTGAAGTTCCTGGCAGAGGTGGATGTAAAATGCCAAGCAGCATTCCTAAAATTGCTCACAAAATGTCAAATCATCACACATATGTCTTTCCGAAAATACTACCAGTATTGGAAGTGGTAAAGCCAAGATGTTCATGGAGCAGCGGATCAACGAATCACTAAAGTTGCCAGCAGTACTGCGATCATGGCTTCTTTGTCATCACTCTTGCCTGAGCCAGACCTGCAAGGAAAAATGATTAAACATAATTTGTAACATAATTAAACCATTTGGTCAAAAAGGGTCAAAGAGTGTTGCACAACTTGATGATTGCTTCAGTGGTGCACGCCTCGGGGCTGTCTTGGGATTAGCCAGCTTTTCGGCGAACCCAGGTGAGCTTTGCAGAAGCCTGGACAAGACTTGCATTCATTGCATCTTGTTCTAAACTGAGGAGCTGCAAACTGGGGAGCAAGGCACTGAGAATAGATCAGAATGGACTTGTGTGATGAAACTACGATGAAAGGAAAGTGTCAAATTGACAAAGGGTTTATAAAGGTTAGGTTCAGTCATGCAAGTGTCCCCACAAAGGCCATGGTTCAAGGGCCAAAGATGGAAGTTACAGAGGTGCAAGAGATCCACTCGGTCCTTGAACGGGTAGGACCATGATTTCGCTTTCTTTACGTGACATGATGGCGGCCTTGTGGCTGTTGACTGCATCTGCTGGACTGACCTGTCCTTGCAGCCCCATGTCCAACGATGGGAAGGTTGCCAGCAAAGTTTGAAACAGTTAGAAACCACTAAATCATACTACTATATATATATATCACTATCAATCACTGCTCCCACCATGCACATCATTCACATCATTCACATCCTGCAACAAAAAAAGGCACAGTCGCACTGGCGGTCCTCTGCCATGGATATGGCGGATATGGAAGGCTCGACGAGTGCTCGAAAGCACAAATTTCGCCAGGTCACCTGCCGCAGAATGCACAGAACGTGAATCTCGGAGGCCTGGAGTTAAGGATGCAGCACAGAATAAATCAAAATAAAATAAAATAAATAGAATATATTAGAATATATCAGAATATATTAGAATTTGAAAATGGCACAAGCTGCTTGCTCTCAATGCAAGAACGTTCAGCAGTGCCTGAACCCAACGGATCCAGCCACTAGAAGGCTCCTGAGCTTCTCTGATGGATCCTAATAAGATCTATGAGAAGCAAATTTCTGAAAATCTTCGCCTTTACTCCGCTGCCAAGCAACTCATTTGTGCCATTGAAGCGGGGCTCCCTTCCCATTGGAGCCATCAGCTGCGTCCCAAATGTGGCAAAGTCATCCCACAAAGCACCCTGAAATGGAAGTGTAGAGCTGGCATAGATGATTGATGGATATTGGTTGTTACTATTGGTTACTATTGGTTATAGTTATTGCATCTAATTCTTTCGCTCTGCTGTACTGTACAAATCATCCCTGTGCACAGAAGAACAGAAAGAAATAGAGAGAGGGAGAGGGAGATACAGGGAGAGAATGATAATCACATGCATCAATCAGCTTCATTCATCCCTCGAAATGGGTGCACTACTGCAGACGCCACTGTAGCTCATGCTGAAACAAGCGCGTTTTTTCATTCGCGGGTATTGCAGCATGGCCTGACAAGCGAGAGTTCCAGTGAAGACTGACCAGGCTGAAGCCTAGCAATATGAGAATGTAGCCTCTCTGAAAGCGGGTGAAAAGGAGCGCAAACACATGAAGGCACCCCATTCGAGGTCCAATGTAATCCAAGCTACACAGATTCATTCGATCTCCTAGGAGTTCTTCCTCGTATCCAATGAAGCTTTTGTGGATCAACCACTTTGAATACACTGTACATCCCGCCTTTGTTTCAGGCCAGCTTGTCAGCATGAAACTTTACCTTTTGCGCCTCTCTCACCTGCCCAAGGTTTCTGTCTGTTGCTGCATGTTCAAGTTGTTGCACATCATTGTACATCTAAACATCCAGATCCCGAGCACCCGAGCATTCTTCTTAAGGCCGCGACATGCCCTAGGGCGTAGGCGCTACAGGCACGTAAGAGGCCTTGCGCAACTTCATGGACTCACGAAGAGTTGGCACAAGATACAGCAGCTATATCAGCTATATACATGTTTCTCTGGATGCCGGCGGGATAGCTGACTACCTTCTGCAAAAAAATGGCCTCAAATGGGAGCCACGTGGTCTTTGTTTGCCACAGTGCCAGCGTGGGAGAGCGAAAGTCCATGACACCCCATTCCTGATCAAATGAAAATGGACTGTGTCAGGGCTTGCAATCTATCCAATATCCTGGCTTCTTGGATTTGGTGCGAAAAAATGAAAACTATTTCAAGCAGATTCTGAACATTTTGTCTCTCTAAAAGAACCTCATGATCCCAAACACGCGAAATCACAGCAGAGTTGCCTTCTCTAGCAAGTTTTTGATTTCTCGAACAAGGTCACGCCTCACCTCACAGCAAAATGTTCAGCCCATTCTGATCTTTCTGTGACACCACCACCAACAACACCACCACCACCACCAACATCATCATCATCATCATCATCATCGTCATCGTCATCGTCATCCTCATCATCATCGTCATCATCACCACCACCACACCACCATTGTCCTCCTCCTCATCATCATCATCAGCAGCAGCAACATCATCAAAGAAGAAGTTGTTGTTGTTGTTGTTGTTGTTGTTCTTGTTCTTGTTCTTGTTCTTTTTATTGTTCTTGTCGTCCTTGAGATCGTTGTCATCATCACCACCACCACCCTCGCATTGTCTGAACTATTCTGAAAAGTTGTTCCTTCTGAACGTTGAGTAGAAACCCATCATCACCACTCCAACCAGAGGCTCTTGCCTGCGCAACGTTCTCGCCTTCAACAGGAAAGACCTGATGCCCATTGATCATCTCATATAATCTGACAATATCTTTTCACCACAGGAAACTCCACATCCAAAATAGCCATGACAGCGATGAGTTAAGCCTCGAAGGCAAAGGAGAAGGTCAGCATCTCCCGAGGTGTTGCGGCATTGCGCAACCCGCAGGCCTCCACTGGTGACCGAGTTGTTTCACAGCGTCCTATGATGTCTTTTACATATGGATATAAATACATATGGTTGTACAAAGAATGACAAAGATACACAATGTACAATATCTAGACACACATATCTAGCAAAATGTTAAGGATATGTCAATCATGTGTTGATCATCATATGTGCGTAACATGTTCATTTATAAAAGTTTACAATATTATACAATATTAATATGTAGAATTATATAATATTATAAAATAATATTATCTAGTAATATATATAATATATAATAATAATATACTATTACAGTACATTCAATTACGTTCATATCTCATGTTGCTTCATCTTGTCCCGCCTCCTCCACAGCTTTGACCCAAGAGGTCACCTCGGGCGAGTGGTGCGTTGGGACGATCTCTACGGCGGAGGTTTCGCCATGCAGTCAGAGCACATGGAGTACAAACGTAGTACAAATGTAGTGCACATGTCATCAACTGTCATCTTAAATGTCATCTTAAATGTCATCTTAAATGTCATCTTAAGCATGTCCACAGTCAACTTTGAGTTTCACTTTTAGTGCACTCAGTTGCGAACACATTCTTGAGCACCAGGACCTGATTTGAGATGTGATTTTGAGACGAACAAATCAGATTATAAACTTGATAAAAGCAAGCAACTGGCATGCAAATTGCGAAGATAATCGAACCTGCTGGAGTCAATGTAACCGAAGTGCAGTCTGCACCTCATGTGCCCGTCGTGCAGAATATGATAGGATGCATGGTTTCTGTATTGAAATCATACTGACAACCGATGACTTGCCACAGCGTGCCATCAGATCTGCCATTTTTTGTGCTGTGTCCAAGAGAATGAAGGAGCCCTGGCACAAATATGATGTTGCAGTCTCATTCTTTCCCTGCGTCTCCTCTGTTTTCACTTGGGTCAGCTCCAATGTTTCTTCCAATCCGTTGGATTTGTCAAACCAAGCTCCATGCGGTCAAATCTCATAGGCCAATAGGTCCATGGAGCCTTTTCTGCAGCGCCAATTACTGTTCTGAATTTTAAAATCCATCCCAAAAAAGAACGTCAAAGCATTGGAAATTGATGCAGATTGCTATCACCGTGACACTTCCCTTGCTTTATCGCCAAGGAACAGAGTGAAAGATCGGATCGAGGCGCCGATTCACCTCCCATGACCACAGTGCGTCCAGTGGACGCCAGCCGCACAAATGAAAAGCTGGGAGAACCTTTAGGTGTTTGATGGTGTTTGGTGATTTTGGTGTTTGGGGAAACTATGGGAAACCTCTTCATCCCAAATACCGATGTGAAACGATGTGAAACGATGTGAAACCTGCCCGGAAATATCCAATGCCAATCTCCGGCCCCACGAGCTCGACCTCTTCGTAGCAAGCTCTCCAGTTCACGTCCTCACCAGAGCTCTCCGTGACGATACTCTGGGACCTCACAAGAACCGATCTACAGATCGGCAAATGCACGGTAATTACCCGATAAAAATTACGTATCCTTTCAGAGGATGATAATTCATGATAATTCAGCATATAAGATCATATAACTATATATAATATTATGCTCTTTTGTTTCCAGCATATGATCTGCCTGCATCATCTTCTCTATACCAAGTGTTGTCATGAGCATCGGGCTGGCCGATTAGCTCTGGCCGCCGAAAGGGATCCAAAAGCCGAACGGCATTCAGGCTGATGCATCCTGCAGGCTTTCCCGGAAATATCTGGTTGGAGCACGTTGGAATGCACGATATCACAACATCGCATGTTCACCATTTTTGGAGGACATCTGAATCACAATATAGACATTTATAGACTATGCATATCTATGGATATACCTATGGATATATCTATGGATGTCTATGGATACTATGATTTGATCACGATTTCGCTCTGTTCAATCAAGACTTGCTAAAGCCTGCCACGCTTTTCTCTTGTCACTTGTCTAGGTCAGGCTCTGTGCCTGCTGGCACCAGCTGGTACAGTGGACCAAGGGGTGATGCAGAAAGCAGGGCCTGTACGCCTTGGTATACAAGACTATCATGCACATGATGGGTACCACAGAGTACCAGTACCACTCCGAACTGCATTTTGCTGTCAGCATTAGGGCAATTGCTGGAAGAGGACACCAACAAAAGATATTATCAGACAACAAGGAACACTCGAAAAATGTCAAAACATCAACATATCGCGCAAGGGATCCAGTGTTCAGTCTGGCGATCCCGACGCTTCATCAGCTCAATGTGTCTTTCGTCAAGTTGAAAAACACAGCTGCAGCCTGAATCACCGGATTGCAGTTCTAGGTGTAGCTCTGTTCAGAGTCATGAAAATATACGTAGAAAATATATGAAAATATTCAATTGCACGGCTGGCTGGGTTTGGTAGTTTAGACATGGGTACCACATGTTTTCTTGGCAGTGGGACATCACCAATGTCACGGCACAAAGAGAATATTGCTCGTGACTTGCCTTGCCAAGGAAGCTCTTCCCATGTCACAGGGTCGAACCTCACGTTAAAGCAAGTGAATCATTCAGCTGCAAATGGGTTTGTCTGAAGTCTTCTTGAAAACCATTGAAAAAACATTCCATCCACTGGTTTATCATAATTTCCCATGCTAAAACTACCAAAAATTGCAGTGCACACCATCTTCAGACACACCTCAATAAAAGATCATAAAAGATAATCAAAGGCTGCAACATCGGAGTTGAACTTGGCTTTCAGCTGGTACCGTGGGATCGAAATGTCCGGTGGTGCGCCAATGTGAACCTCGGGTTCAGCCAGTGGTCAGGTATCAGAAAATGTGATACTAAAACATACATAAACATACTATAACACATGAGGTGCACAGTGGGCAAATGGGTCGCATCGACGAAGATAGACATGGGCCAGAATCTTGACCACCTGTTTGTTTATGTTCAAGACGTGCACAAGAGGAAAAGAGACGGAAAAGCTTTAGGCCAACTTGTGCATGGCCAACTCAGCCCAGAACAACTCGTAGAGACACTGGTCTCTTGCCCGAGGAGAGAATCACATATCGAACCTGCTCGCAAACCTGTGAAGCGAAAGAGGCCGGATGCTCAACAACTCCCAGCAGCGTCTGGCTGCGATTCAACTGGCTTTGTTGCTACAGATTACTCAGAGAATCATTCGGTTACAGCAGTTAGTAGCACTTCATCGCTTAGAATTCGGCCAAAAGCTGTAAATGTCAAACTTATCTGTTTTGACCCTTCTCAACTCTCAACTTGGTCTTTTCTCGAGTCTTTAGTGTCTCATGTATCAGGTCTTCTGGCCCTTGACACCAGGAGCATCCCTCAAAACCAAGGAGATGATTAGAAAGTCGGATTCTGAAGGTAGCTCTTTCTTGCTCAGCCAGATCGATTGAATCCAGACAAATGACCTTCCAATCCCGCTATCTTGTACAGGCATTGATATGATTGAATAATGTTGAATATCCGTACATTAAACTGCATCAATAATTAAGCTATGTGGCTCAGACAAAAAGAGTCCTTCCAGAGGCAAGCCTCACAAGACCTGCTTGAATTAATTGAGCGTCCAAGCAATCCTGTGCTGCGGACATCTGCTATACAGTACATAAAGCTTTGAGGTGTCTCAACAAAGCAGCCATGAGGGCCCTTCCGAAAATAAACACACATTGACATCCAGAAACGCTAATAAAAATGAACTTGGGAGAGTTGAAAGTCTCCAACGTGGCTCTGCTCTGAAACAGCTCAGGGATCGCAGTCGACTGCATGTCTGCCACGAAGGCAGTGCTTCAAGACTCGCTCACGTGCATTCCTAGATCAAACTTTGTAACAAATAGTTCTTGTCCTTCGGGCGGCTCTAAAAAGATGTCCACTCCCAGTTCTGTGTCCGGTCATGAGCCGAACTGACAGAGAAACAGCATGAGAAACAGCATGAGAAACGTTGGTAGGAAGAAACTGCAATGCCCTGTCGAAGATGTCCAGGATGTCTGTCTGGGACTCAGCGCACTCAACTCGTACTATCCGAAGTAATCATGTAGGCAAGCCATGACTGGAGTGAAAGACAACCTCGGCAAAGCAGCATTTGCATGATCTCCAGGAGAGAAACCAGGGGACACATGAATGCAAAATGACAAGAGCAGAACTGCTGGGGATCCAAATTCGACACACATTGAAACAGATATTCGTAACATTTCAAGGTATTTCCAAGAATCAGACCGAGCCGGATCCTCAACTTTGTCAGCTTCTTGCAAAAGCCTCACAGGGTGATGCACGTGGTCCAAAACAAAAAAGAACCAGAAACGAGTCGTTCCTCTATTTTCAGAGGTATTTGAGCTCAAGGAAATCTGGAAGTGAAGCACCTGTCGCGCCTGTGACTGCAATTGAATTTCTATGCTAATTTCATCTGATTTGATCTGATCTATGCTGTAGTTTGATACAGAATCGACACATCTGCCATAATCTGCCACAATTTCTCGGCAAAACACTGGCCAAGCTCCAGCCAAAGTGTAGCACAGAAGGTCTGGTCTGTCACCCGAGCATGCAATTCCTGACGGACAAGTTGGATCAAGTTGGATCAAGTTGGATCAGGTTGGATGGTCCTGATATGCTGCTGGTTTGTTCTGCTGTGTCCTTTGCCTAGAGCCTGATACAGTAGCACCTTCAACATCCCAACACTGGCGGCATAATCATCATATACACGTCATTACACGTCCAAAAAATTCAAACATTTTCAAACTCACCCAGTCTCTTCGAATTGTTCAAGGCTTCGTTGTCGCAGATTGCAGGAGCCAAGGAGTGCCACCTTCGATGACGGACCTGTTTGCAGCATCCAGTTGGAACATCTTGTGCCAGTCTCAACTGTATGGGTGTGTTGGGTTCAGATGATTCAGAAAGATTGGGCCTATGTTGTGCTAGGATGTGCTAGCTATGTGATATATATATATATGTATTCACAGTTAAACATGTAATTTCATCACATTTATATATATATAATTATATAGTATAATTATATATAAATATCGTTTAACATGTGCACAGTTATACATTATACATCAAGTCATGTATCACACTATCAGCACATCATGTTCGAAGACACATCTCTACATTGACACACACACACAAGTGTCACACAAGTGTCACACAGGCGGAATGATTGATCGCTTATCTTTTCGGGCGAAATGCTGACACAAAGCAGAAGACAGTTGTTCCGGTGCCTTCTGCAACAACTGCTTTGGCATGGACCATGCTCCCTGGCCACTGGCGCTTCAACATGCAACAGAAAACAAGAAACATCAAGAAACCCTACCAGTCGAGTCAGTGGTGAGTTCGCAGAAAAAGCCTGAAGCAAAAACATGCAAAAACCTATCGGGGACCTCTCTAAAGAGAGCAGATACTTGCAGAATGCAGAATCCTGAAGCAATTTGAAGCACAAGTCTTGCATAGTCTTGCAGCCAAGCAGCTGTGAAGCTTTAGAAGGAAATTGCCGCTGCCACCCCACTTTGCAAGTAGATTTCCCAGGGTCCTTGTCTGCTTGCCAAACGGCCACCACCATTGTCACTTCCACAGAACAGCAGAAGCACCACCAACAATCCCGCCAAAACTCTAAGAATCTTTGAGATGTTTGCTTGACTTGAGGTTTGAACTACTTACACCGCTGATTTTTGTGCAGTTTCATTATGTTCCCACACTTGCAGATCCCCATCCTGGCATTGCAATCCGCATAGACGTTGGGGGTCCAAGGCATCACCAGTTCCACACGAGCACCGCGTTCCAGGGCTTTGGACAGGACTGCTGCTCCAGTTTCATCGATGTACGAAGCTGCGACCCTGTAGAAGTCAAAGCTGCTGTAGAAGCGAAGCATCTCCGGAGCGATGTCGAACTCACCCTGAAAGGGATGGGACAGGAGCCATGCTGGCCACTCCCAACGTTGCGGTCGATTTGTGACAAACTGCAGAGCGCCGTCAGCGCTGTCAGCCATGTTTTTTTGCCTCTCGCGAGCTTCGAAGGGGTCATCGCCTGGGACGGCTATGGAGTTTCAGGCACTTTCCAAGTGTCCAGATGTGTCCAGTCTTGCAGTAACAACCCATGGCCCATCAACAGCCTTTTTTCCTTCACAAATACGAATAAAATTGAACCCAAATGGAACAATATGCAATCGTATGCCAGAACTGTGGATGTCAAGCACCACACCTTTGGTCTTGTCGCCAATGAAGAGCGAGGCACTGTCGGGGATTTGCTGCCAGCCCAAGGATGACAGCAGCTCAGAAACAACTGCATCACCTTCTAGCCGTATGGCAAAGTCGCGCCATGAGCTAAAGCGGTCCCCAAAGTTGATGCCACCAAAGATGGCCACGTCTGCAGAGGCTAATTTCCTGCGACTCTAGAAGTCGTGACAATTCGTGACACTAGGATTTCAAGATATTTCAAGGAGCAAGGAAAAGAAAGTGTCCAACCAGCAAGATCTTGCTCTTGCACTTCACCCTACAGTATGGTGTTTGAAAGATGCCTGGCAACTGGACATGTCCAACTCCGCATATTCAAGTCGGTCCTGAAGGTTAGCAGCTTTGCATGAGTAGGAATCTGCGGTTGCTCGAAGACAACCTCAAGTTGAGTCTGCCAGCCATCTGAAACATTAACTGCATTGAATAGTACTGATATATGATAGCATGAATGGCACGAATAGGGAAACAGTGAAACACATCGGAATATCACCAGTCAATATGTTTGACACAAGGTACCGTGTCGGGCATCTCGTCTCGCATTTGCTGCAAGCGATAAACCAACGTTGTGGTACCTCTCGCAAATGCATGGAAAGTTCCATGGCTATGTACTATGTAATTATATAATACATATATATAATATATAATATATATAATATATATAATATATATAATATATATAATATATATAATATATATAATATATATAATATATATAATATATAATATATATTATAATATATATATTATAATATATATATTATTATTATTATTATTTTATTTTTATTTTTATTATTATTATATATATATCATAATTATAGACTGTATTATAGATGTTTATTAATTCCACCGGAAGAAGACCTTTCAGTCAAACCTCTGAGATCTGTTCTCTCACGTCCAGAATTTTGAAGTGATGCACATTCTTTTCTTGACCCAGCCTTCGCAAAGACGTGTAAAGGAGCTGAGAACGCTGCAGTCCTGGTTTAGTGCCATCTGTTGTCTGCTTACGCACAGACAATTTATTCTTCATACTGTACTCCTTTCAACAGTCGGGAATTCTCAAAGCAAACAAAGAGTTCGAACTTCGAACATGTTCAAACTGTGTCAAAGTTGTGCTATGCTGCAAACCAAAACTTGCCAAACGTTGAGAAACTGACAAACCAACAGAAACCAACTGCTGTTTCCGTTGTTGGACCATGGTGAAGCATTTTGTCCCCTGTCCGTGCGAAGTCGTAGTCGAACACCTCTGCGAGCAGCTGCAGCTAGGGCTGAAACCAAGGCCTCGCTACTTGGCCCCGGCTCAACCACGTAGACGCTGAAGAGCACCTCCTGCACCGAGAAATCGAAATCGAAGCCCTTTAATATCCCTCAATCATCTCAACACTTCAATCTTAGATACTCACGAAAAAACAATATGATGAATTTGGGTGTATCAAGGGACATCTCCAGTTTCACAGGCTTCCAGCTCAGCCATAACAGCCGCAAATGTTGCCTCATAGCCTGCCGACATGGGAGAAGCACTGTTGGAAGATATACATGTCATACAGTATTATTTTTGTTCAGAAGGCCGAGGACCAGTGAGTTTGAAGCACTACACTTGGTCATATTCAAAAGACTCCCAAGTTAAAAAGATTACTGTATATAAACGTGTTCAAACATTTTGGAGAGGTCCACTCTGACAAAAATAAGCGGTGCAAACGTGCTTCAACCCCATGCGAAGAGCTTGACACGGCGAAACCTCCAAGATTCAAAGCATGACAAGATATGACAAGGATTGGCCTGTCAAGAGCTCGATCTGCATTTGTGTCTTCATGCTCTGGCCGCCCTGGCCCGAGATTTTCTGGATGTTTTCCGACCTGAAAACCAGATTAATGAATAATGAATGACGCTTCAAGCTACACTAAGCTGGATACGGTTGGGATGCTGTTGGAAGCCTTTACACTCACACTGAGTTTGCGCCAAAAACTGTTGGAATCTGTCCACTTTCTGCTGAGGCGCTCATCCTTCCATCGAAGTTTTCTTCGCGGCTCGGACACGGTCAGCAGTGAGAAGCACTCGTGGACCGACCATCTCGGTTTCGCAGACTGCTTTTCCAGGAGCACAGAAGCTGAATGTGTGATGATATGACATGAGAGATCATGAGACATTGATTTGAGAGACTGACAAAGGATTGGCTTTCCAAAACTGTCAGTCACAAGACCACTCAGATGTATCCAACATTGGCTTCAAGAAAATCACTGGTGTCTGTCAGGTTGCTGGATTTGGTGTAGGAAAAAGGCAGCCCAGCACAGAGATAAAGTGCAGAGACGGACAGCAAGCTTCTGCTTTGTGCACTTCATGAGACGCTTCAGGGCCTTTCACCCTGGCCCAGTTGGCCTTCTACAAAGATCCGTAGTTTTTTGCCCGAGAATGGCTGGTGCTTCTGCACTTTGCAATGCATGGAATGACATGGAATTGACATGGAATGACTAAGAAAAGTTCTGGCACATTCTGGCATCATCTCCAAGGCCATTGCCATTTCTTGGCGGCTCTCCATTATGTGCTGGTTTATGCCTTTTATGGGAGATATGGATCATGCCATTTGTTGCATGGCATGACCACCCAAATACATAATGCTCCAAAGTGTATCACAATGGAGCGGGTTTAAAAAGTGTAAGCTTGAGCAAATCAAAGCAACAAAGCAATCCAAGAATCCTAATGCGAGCACGGTGACACATGCCAGGCAAGGGGGTTGTGAACAGGCGAACAAGATGCATCAAACAAAATATGGGCTGAGCCAAGTCTGTTCTTTGGGTCTTCTTTGGTATTTGCCAAGTTCTTGCAACAGCCTCGGCGCGAAAGCCCAAGGAGTCCCGGAATCGACACAGAAGGCCTTGGCTTAAGAGGTCTTTCATTGCATCATGTAGGCACGGGCTAAAGCACATTCGGGTCATCTCTCTTTGGGGGTTGTTGACTCGTTGTTGACCTTTGAAAGCGGGTTGTCTACGTTCGCGCCTGAACTGTACAGTATGTACACTACCTCGAAAAGGGCTGGTCAGGAAGAAATCGTTTCGGCACTATGTAAGTAGTGTACTATGTAATCGTTTCATACTTGGTCATTAAACTGTAAAAAGCGCTAAGATATGCTAAGATCTTTGGATATAAATCTGCTGACCCACCGCTTTCACCGTCACATTTTGGCAGAGCTTTCAAGGGCATATGTGCGATCATGATTGAACCTGTGTGGAATGTACTTTCTGTCTCATTATTTCTACAACCGTCATTAAAGTCTCCAGCTCTACCAAAGGTCGCAGGTCACGGGCCAGGGTCCAGGCGGCAAACGTCCGCCTGTGGAGCTCCCTGGCAAATACGGACCATGTATGGACCACATGGGGCAGCCTTCACGTCCCATTTGGAAAGGGGGTCAGTGCAAATAGCATCCTCATGCATCCTCCATCTCGCATACTGCGAGGCCACTGGCTGTCCTTTCTCAGTGTCAGACCCTCTCAATAGCAAGCGTCACATGGTTTGTCTATGATTCTCTCAGAGTCTATCCTTGATCTGTTTTGTGTACTGTGTTTTGATATGCCCGCCTGGACCCCCATGGCTGCCAGGGACAAGACTCTGTCATAGAGGAACCTGGGTTTGCAAAGCTGATCATGCAAATCATGACCAACCAACACTTCACTTCAGTTGTCACTCTGAAAGATTTTGACAAATTTGCGGATGCCTCCAAGTAGCATACTTCACCTCTCTCTCTTGGTGTCCCAGCAGGTCCACATCCCCTGCAGCCGGGTCGCCAATAAGTCCGGCTCTTCTCAGGGTTGCTGGTGAGCAAGGCATCTGACTGCCGGGTGAAGTCAATGGGTTCCTCGTGCGACTTCGATTTTTCTCGTCACTGGTCTACACAGTCTACCCGAGTCTACCCTTGCAATTGAAACTGATCATACGAATCATACTGTAACTCCTGGTTGATAGAGTGGATTGCAATGCTTCTTGTACAGAGATAGATCATCTTGATCTCATATGCCGACTCATATGCAGCTATGACGTGATAGATGGTGGGGCCACTTGATGCACGTTGATGGTCCAGGTCTTAAGAAAATTGGGACGTTTTTCTTCTGTCTGACGCAAGTTTCGTGATGCCTTCTTCACGTAGGGGTTGCCCAGGCCAACAGATGTCATTGAGTTTTGACGCCTGTGGCAATGGCAAGGCAAGCAACAACATGTGAAAGGTTAGACAAGTTCACAATCGCTTGGACGTAGTTTAGTGTGTTTGGTGTTACGTGCTCTCAAGAGATATGGAAATAGCAGTGATTTCAGGACGAAATTCGTGGCGCTGAGGCTCAAGCTTGCCCACAACAAAGCCTGGAATTAAGGCAGGTGTCTGTGATGTCCACGTGACTTTTACTGATTGTATCATTGTATCATATTGTATCGATGATTGAGCTGTATGTACACATTGGCGCTCGTATTTGTGGCATCTTCCCCATGTCTTGTTGACAGATTTTCCCTGCACAAATAAAGGTACTGCCCAACTTCATAATTTCTTCTGAGTGGCGCAAGCTTGGCACGTCCGATCCCCGAATGGGCAGCGCATCAGTCTGACTGAAGCTGACATGGAACGAAGACCTGATTGACTCGCAGAAAGGCAGTAGAAGTGAGTTCAAAAACGCGCCAGTCTTTGAAGGTACCATATATGATCATGTATGTCAAAAAAGACATTCACAAAAGCACACGTCCCCGAACGTTGGAAGTTCGTTGGAAACAAAGGAGAAGTAAGCAAATCATTTGCAGGAGCAAACCAGAATTGCGCTGAATTCTTAATGTCAAAGTCATCAAACATGCCACAATGTGTCACACAAACACCGAGTCCCTGACGTTGCGTTTGTTTGGATAACAATCAGGCCACGCCCTGCAACCAGCGCACTTATGCCCCTTTGTTCTACGATGACATTGGAACGAAATGACAGGCTCACCTGTGCCAGGTCTGTTGCCATCCTCAGCCTCACTCAAGGCCTGGCCGCAGGCGTTGATTTCAGATCATTTCAGTTGGAACATGTGACATGTGTATTATAGATAGATAGTTTGATAGATAGATAGATAGACAGACAGATAGATAGATAGATAGACAGATAGATAGATAGATAGTAAGATAGATAGATAGATAGATAGACAGATAGATAGATAGATAGATAGACAGATAGACAGATAGATAGATAGATAGTAAGATAGATAGATAGATAGATAGATAGATAGTAAGATAGATAGATAGTAAGATAGATAGATAGATAGATAGGTAGTTTGATAGATAGATAGATAGATAGTAAGATAGATAGATAGTAAGATAGATAGATAGATAGATAGGTAGTTTGATAGATAGATAGATAGATAGACAGATAGATAGATAGATAGATAGTTTGATTGATAGATAGATAGATAGACAGATAGATAGATAGTTTGATAGATAGATAGATAGATAGATAGACAGATAGATAGATAGACAGATAGATAGATAGATAGACAGATAGATAGATAGATAGTAAGATAGATAGATAGATAGATAGATAGACAGATAGATAGATAGATAGATAGACAGACAGATAGATAGATAGATAGTAAGATAGATAGATAGATAGATAGATACTGCATCGAAATGCAGCATCCTGTGGCGAGTTGTTGGTAATTGTTGGTACTTGGATCATGATCCCCTGCCTCCAAGTCAGCAACCACCAGCTCGCTTCGATCTCCTGGCCTCACGGGACACAAAATCACAGCGGCACTGCCCCACAAATTGACATCTTTCGACTTGAAATCTGCGAGTCTCCCACAAGTTGATCCAGTTCCAATCAGCACTCATTCTTCAGAGAACTCTCCAAGTTGATTGTGACTGTCTTTGCTGCGCTTTGCTGCGCTTTGCTACTCTTGCACTCTCTTGGCTCGGATTTAGATGATCTGTTCATGCGATATTTCTCAAACTACACTGAAGCCGAACAGACTTGGATGATCAGAAAGACTTGATGCAATATGATAATATGATGTAATAAAGAACTTACTTGACCCTGCAGGTCTTGGTATGAGCCAGACTGGCAAGAAGATGCAGTAGCGTGTGCTATGGATTGCAATGGCAAGTTACGGTGAAGGAGGCATGATCAGGCATGACAGGGATATCTCAGACAACCTTGCCACCTCTTCAATAACACACGCGTCCAGTTCACGTCGTGTGAAACTCGCGTTGCCCTGTGAAGGTATTCTTCAGAGGTTAAAATGACATATTGAAAGAATGGCGTGGAATGGCATTCATTTGGCCAAACCATCTGTAAACAACTGAAATCCAGCTCTCCGTTCTTGAGCCGGATCATGCATTTTGCCACCACAAGAACTCATGATGTCAAAGCACCTTCCAGTGCGCAGCCAAACAACAGTGGACCAAAAAATAGAAAGGCTGCAGAATTCATATTCATCTTCCTTTACTGTATATACCTCTGCACTATTCGAAACTGTTCTGCATATATAAATGCCTCTGTTTGTCGGGCGCATCCTGCAGTAGCCTGCCTGGGATGCTTCCTTTTGCTGCTGCTATCAACAAACACTCATTGTTGAAGGTCAAACTACAAGATTTCTTCCAGAATGCTTTCAAAATCAAGGCGGAAAAAGTGAAGGCAAGTCTCAGACCCCAAAATTTTCAACCATCTAACCTGTTTATATTGTCTATCATACAGAAACGTACTTGCGAAAATTGGGTCGCCACAATGGCCGAGTGCAATTGGAGGGGACTAAGACCACTAGCTCAACACATGAACCACAGTAGTAGACCTATTATATACTATTTTGTTACGAGTACTTACTACTATAATTAGTATGATTGTTACTATAATTACTGTGGTTGTTGTTGTTGTTGTTGCTGTCGATAAATCTCAATGTTCATCTCAAGCAGATCTGCCACTGCCTGTGCGGCGGACGACGGTCGCGCACGTGTTGTCACAGGGCTGGGCAGCGGCACCAGCGGTGCTGAGCGGGGTCTTGGACGCTCCTTGGTGACATCCTGGAGACGAGATGTGAGATGTCAGACATGTGGGGCTCTGGATCAGAAATGAGTTTTACACAACGATATGTACATACAATATATATATATATACAGGATGTATAATATGTATATGTATGTGACATATGTATCTGTATGTGTATATAATTATAATATATATATATGTACATAAATATACACATATGTATGTGTATATCAATATAGATGTATATATGTATGTGCGTGTGTAAAGATATTTTATATTGGATTGACGTATACATTATACAGTACTTAGGTTAGTGCAGAATTAGTGCAGATGAAATCAGATCAATCAAATGTATTCAAATGTATTCAAATGTGAGATCACATAAAATATCATAAAATCATGATAATTGAAATTAATTGAAAATCTGCAAGAAACCGAAGACCTGATGGTCCTGTGGGATGGACTTCAGTGCAGGAGGCCGTCCAATCTGACTGCGAGAAGAAGGCAGCACAGCGCTAGCGCAGACGCCTCCTCAAATGTTGGGATTGGTACACTGTGGTCAAAAAACATGAAAGGTGCATCGATAGAAAAGATCAATCCCAGGGAAGCAAAACTCTTATTGTAATGGCATGCGATGGCAATTTATTTTACCCTACAAGATATGATTTGCAGCAGTGAATCACCAAACAAGCAATCATTTGGCTCTGCAAATACTCAATCCAACGATATCCAATGTCATATCACTTGTAGAACCGTAGAACGAAACAATCGAGACCTACCAAAAAGCCATGGGACAATGCCAACCCCACAGCGTGCTTTCACCAAGCTGCGTGATGAAGGCGGACCCAATGCACTCAGCGGACGGGAGCTTGGCACTGCCGTGCTGCAGCCGGTCCTGGAAGACACTGGTCTGCCACTTTCGGGCTTCGCACTACTAGCCTCAGTGGAGAGTGGCAAGAAAGGTCGAAAAGCAAGTCCTGTCTTTGAATTCTCCTGCAAGGAGGGGCATAAAAATGATTAAAAATGGATACCAATTGAATTGTTATTTACTTGGTTGATAGATTTTTCAATAAAAACAAAAGCTTTGAAAATGGCGCTGATATCAATAAAAAAGCAACTGAAGATGAACTGTACGGACGCTTCAATTTGTGCGGAGTAGGAGTTCGCAGCTGCTGCGTGTGCAGACTGGACGGATCAATTTGAATTCGATTGGCGCTTCCAGGACGGAAGGGTCTGGGCGCGTGGGCTGGCAGATTCACAGGGGTAGCTGCAGTAGCTGGTGTCGCTGGCTCGTGAATTTCCGGAACGTCTCCTTCGACTTTGAGGTGAGTTGGCACCCTGGCTTCCTCCTCATTCACACCAAAGATGTTCACCTCAGCTTGCCAAGAATTATGTTTTGAAGATGATTTGAGTGCAAGTTCGATAATTTTCCACAGTCATGTTCAAATATGAGAGTAGTTTCCATTTCTAGAGACAAACAATGAAGCTTACCCATGGCTGTGACAATAAAGACTAGAGGCAGCGCTGGTATTTGAAGCATCCAAGCAAAAAGTGGCGCAAAGTCCCCAACATTGAGATGACAGTCGTGTTTTGGAACGGAGAGCAAAGGCATGTTACGCATGTTCTACGTAGATGTCATTTTTCGCACTTTGCAATGCCAGTCACCCAGGCTCCCTTTATGCGGATAGATCCATGCCACTCGCCAGGTTCTGAGGGAGCTATGTCGATTGGGACCTTGTGGCAAGTCCAAGTGGCTGTGACTTATTCGAACCCAAGTGAAAAGAAAGGACTGACTTGCTGTGTCAAAATAAGGTGGATAGAATACCTGACTTGATATACATCTCTATACATATATATATACACATCACATATTATAATAAATGATAGATAATAAATAATAAATAGTAAATAATACATAATAATACATAATAAATGATAAATAGTTTGTAAATATTAAATAATAACAAGTAAAATATGAATAATAATAATAATAAATACTAAATAATGCATGATAAATAATAAATGTATAACAAACCATAAATAATGAATAATAATAATAATAAACAAGTAAGACACATTTAAACAAAATGAATAATAAATGAGAATAATATATAATAATAGTAAAGACAATAATCATCATCATCATCATCATTAATAGTGATAAATGATAATATACTAATACACATTGCACATTGTATATATTCTGTCATGAGAATCAAGCCCCAAGAATACAGGGCAGCCCTGCGCCAAGAAGCTGTGACTTTCTGTCCAGGTCCCAGCATGCAGTCGCGCCATGGTACCTTCAATGGCCCAGTATCTTGCAACTCCATCTGCAGACGGGCCAGCACCAAGCCGCGATTGTAGACCCTCGGGTGGTTGGGAAATGCTGAGAATGCTGGAAGATTTGTGATGGAAAAGAGATGCAAAGCATTGCAAAGCCTGAAAGCCAGTTGTTTTCCTATTGCCTGTTGCAATGCTGTAGACATGTATTGTATTGAATTGTGCTACACTGGAATCGTCCCGTGTGACCACAAAGTTCATGCAAACCGTCAAAATCCATCACGTCATTTACTTTTTGATACTTTTTGCACATAATCTCAAGCAAGCGTCTCGAGCTTGAAGCGTTTGGGACCCTGGACCTTGCAGGTTCCCATGTCCAAGAACGGGGCCTCACACCAGCCGAGAATTGGCAATGCACATTGTATGCACATTGTATGCAGGTCAAACCAAAAAAACTCGGCAAGCCTCAAACTCCTCCCAAATGTGGTCCGGATTGGACCAGGTAAACCGTTCCAAATACTTCTGCGCGGCTGGAACTTCAGGGTCAATTTCCAAAGTGCCAACCTCGATGCATACTGGCTGAACTTGATTCTGCTTCATGCCCTATCTGTATCTACCTGTACATGGGGCCTAGCGGCATATCTGTACAGCTTGAGCGCATGAGAGTCTTTGCGTCCGGCCTGGTAATGTGGCCGCGCTCTCATTTCAGCTGCGCGGGCCTCCTTTTCAAAGTCTGCACCATCACCTGGGATTATCTGATTCGGTGGGATATGGTGGGATATGGAAGTTGACGATGCAAGAACTCGTCCATATCCCACCATATTTTAGTGCTGAGCACTTGGGTGTCACGTTTGATACGTCTTTGAAGTCTTGAAATCAGCAAGATTCAGCAGGATACTGAGCTTCCAGAAATGTACATCACGGTAGGCATTGTGAAGATGCAGTTTCACCTGCCAAAGTCATGCTAAACGAGCATGTTCAGCTTGTGAAAAACCTGGAATATCTCAGAATCTCATAGAATCTCCCTCTCAGTTTTCATTGGAGCGTCTCAAAGCCCGCTGTGCAGCCAAAACTGACACAAATTTTGCTGCTGCTCAAGCTTGCCTGCTTAGGGCTTCTCAGGCCTCATTGGCAACACGGAGTGAGGCATCGGTTGAACAAAGTTCAAACGTGTTCAAACATCTTTAGACTTTGAGCTTTTGATCTCATCAAACCAGCGGAAAATGAAAAAACACGGGGGTCACGAGGAGAATTTCCAGATAGGTTTTCAAATCCCTGCAGCATTGTATATGATGTATATGATGTATATGAGAATTGTCAGCACCAAGCTCAACCTTCCTGCCACTCAACTAACATCATGACGTGTCTGAGAGCTGGACACAGAAAGGTTGCAAGTCTCTTGACTTGTTCCAGCCCTTGGTAGCAGAAAGTGACAACAAAATGATTGGAGAACATGTGTGTGGGTGTGATGGCCCGCTGTTTGCAAAGTGATGGTTGAACGGTTGAACGCAACGCACTCAGAAAAAAATATATTCTTTAAACATGGATGAAAAAAATATGAAAACAGCTGAGAATGGCTGGATTTAAACATTGAGACATGATGAGACATGATGAGACATGATGAGACATGATGAGACATGATGAGACATGATGAGACTACTGAACTTACTGAACTTACTGAACTCTTGGGGCCGTGCGAGTCTCCACCTCTCTACAGAGGCTTCCATCCACCCTGGTCCGAAATGGGCCGAACCGGAATAGAATGGCCGAGAATGGCCATGAATTCACACGAATTCACCATATCTACAAGACGAATCCGAAAGGGATCAAAACGTTCAAAACACGTGATACCATATGAATCCATATGATACCTGTTTTCTGATAGCTGCAAGGTGATATCTGGTGATATCTGGTGAAGCTCCAACACAACTGTGACCCAAGTGTGACCTGCTCAGGTCCATGGGCTCCCCAGAGTTGCCACAAAATGTGACCAGCATCAAAAACTCAGTGATCCGTACGGTGTCACCACCAGGAGGTCACCGTTGCGACAAAACGACTCTCCGGCAGTGGCTGTTGGACAAAACGTTGAACTCAGGTGCGAGCTTCTGGATACCTGGAAAGATCTGGAAAGATCTGGAAAGCATGGATAGAAAATAGGCTAAACTTGGCTAAACTGTCATACTAAAAAAAAGAATCCAACGAAAGGATGTTGATCCACACATGAAAGATCCCAGAGCGCAAATCGTACCGATTTGCAATCGCTAGCTCGAACAGGAAGTGATATGTTGCTCACAACTACAATTGCGGAGGAATTCCCCGTGATGCTTTTCAGGCAAATTTCGACAAGTCTTTCCGATAGGTGGCTACAAGATGCTACAAGTATCCCTGTCGGCAACTGGCTTCTGCAGGACGGTGGGCACGTGATCTTTGAAGCTATCTTCTCGTGCGAAGGTAGGTCTCCAGCATGGCAACTTACCTTGCAAGAAGTCATATGAACTAGTGGCAGGCGCAATCTATTGACATCTACCGGAAAAAAACACCTGGGAAACAAGGATGATATGATCATAATTTGTAATCGATTGCAATTTCATCATATGCTTACTGCCATTACAAATTTCATAGAAATTGCCAGGTCATATTATATGCCTGTAAACTCTGTGTGTGTGTACGTGTCTGTCGCATTAATGATACAGGCATGGATATAATGATATAACGTATGTCTGTAATCAATATCTGCAATGTAGTCAGGCCGTGTACACAAACATGTCCAGTGACTGTTGTGTGATGAGCCATGGGCAGCACAAGATGCGATAAAGTTGCAAAAATTCGCTCAAGCTGTCTTTTAGGAACACCTGGCCACGAAAATCCGCCCGCACCGAAGGTGCTGGGGCGTGATCTTCCGGATGGCACTCGTAAAAGGTTACAGGTTTACCTGGGGGGGGGGGGCATTTTTCGGCCAAAACCTCCTGTTTTTGATAGGTCGTGACGCTCGCCTTCAAAAAACACTGTAAAAAACAGTACGGAAGACACCTGTTCGTGAACGCGCCCGTCCAAAATCGGCAAGCGAAAAGTGAAAAAAAAACCGTGTTTTTCAACTTTTTGACCTCAATTTTTTGGTTTGCAACATCTTTTTTTGCGGTTCCGCAGGTGGCCGGGCCCGGAGGCGGATTTTTGAGTTTTTGGACCCGTTTTCGGACTGATTTTCGTCGTTTTGTGATAGCAGAAACACTGGTTTTTACAGTGTTTTTCTGTTTTCTGCATGCTTGACGGCTAGCTTCAAAACTTCCAAAAACCTCGTAAATTACGCTGTTTTATGTTACGGTGTGAATGAAAACATCGTAAATACCAGTGTTTTTTGACGTTGGTTAAAAAACACTGTAAATTACAGTGTTTTTGGCCACCTGACCCTCAAAAACCATGGTATTTGCAGTGGTTTCTGCTTCTCACCGCGCAAAAACACTGTAAATAACAGCAATTTCGCCGTTTTTTCATGTTTTTCGTTATTTTTTGAACTGCGTTGGTCCGCTATACATGGCTATCAAATTCTTCGCGTTTTCTTTTCCGACAATCAGTACTTTCGGATGTTTTTGGTCTCAATGGCCGACATCATTGGCAGTTACGAGCGGCTGCCCAACGATGCGGTGCGGGCGGTTGCCGTCGCGAAGCGACGTGAATACACGGACAACAGGAAGGCAGAAAAGACAGCAAAAAGAAAGTGCGAAAATCAGGTATCATCAGGTATCATCACGGCTGCAGAATCCACAGAGTCAGAGGGGGTCCTGCTCAACAGAAGCAACAAATGTCAACAGTGGCTGCAAAACGTTGCGGCATCATCTTGAAGTCTTTGGCCCATTCCAGAACAGCTCGAAAGCCAAGCCTCGGAGCTGAAAGGAGAGCTGTGAAGATGGCCAGGTGATCTCACGGTCTCTGAAGATCAAGAGCTCACAGATATCCAAACAAAACCAGGATTAAAGCTATGCCACACGACTCACACAGCTACGAGTATCAAACAGAATCGCAACATCACAGGGACCATCATGGACCCATGGACCACACCAAGACCCCTGCAAGCGCTCGTCAAAGTCCACAGGTGAGAACAATGCCAGCTCCACTCCCTTCTGCTTTCCCACCTTCGAGCGCCAGCGCCGCATGATGCGGTCAGGTGCTTTGGGACCAAGCCATAGCAGCCATAGCAGCCATGGCAGCCATGACGTCTGAGGCCGGCACAAGCTTTTCAAAGATTCTGGAATAAAACATGTACATCCTGGCGGGTGCACATGACTAGCGTGACTGGCACATAGCAACATGCAAATACGGAGTATAGACTCAATGTAAGAACCCTAGAAAGGCCAGGCTAGTTGGATGCTAGCTTTTTGGGAACAATCCTGCTGGAAAGTGCTTTGTAGATCTGAAAATCTCGACTGGCACTTGCACGAAAAAAAACAGCTTGCAGACGTTTTTTCTCAAATCATGCCGGTGATGCATTAGCAAAGAGCCAGGCTGCTTTTTGGTTCTGGATGCAAAGCTTTCCAAATTGTAGCCCTGGAAGTGGTGATGAATCAATGCGCAAGGACCGCAAGGATTGTCCTTACTTCCAGCTCAAGGCCTGCAAATCAAAATATGTCTTGACCTCGAGCTCGCAATTGTTGTAGCTACCAGCCTGCATCAATGGTGGGGAAATGATTGGAAGGTCTGCCAACCACTCCGAAGCAAAATCCGTGCCTCCTCAAGTAGGCGTTGCACCTAGGGCAAGGCAAGAAGTTTTTACTTCCTTGAGGCTATAGGTACTATAGGTGTCATGGTCAGCAATGGCTCGGAGTTGGTCCAAACAAACACTATATATATATATGGCAGTGTGTCAAAACCAATAGTACCCCTGTAGTTCACATCAAAATAGCTGGGATTTATGGATGTTCATCCCCCTAAAAATGGTATTTTCATAGGTATTGATCCATACCCATATATATATACATATATATATATACGATAATAATAGATCAAACATCATCAAGCATTGTGTAACAAAAAAATGAGGTCGTTTGGCCTCTTCGGAGAACTTCCGAAAAGGAGATGACACCGCCTGGCCGGGCACATCGCTTGGTACCTACGAAGTGCCTCTGGGAGTAGCTGGGATCTGTTCATTTGGGAGTCACCAAAGTCACCAGGAGGGTCACCAGGAGGGTCACCAGTGGCTACAGATTTTTTGATCCGATTTGTACCTTCTCCGGGGCTTCAGCGTCGCACGCATCCTGGTACAGTAGAATTTCAGATGAGCGGTTGCCGAATGTTGCCAATTTGTCCCTTGCATTCCCAGGTCACCAAGTTGTCACCCAAGGCATGTTCGCTTGAAAAATATCGAAATGTAGCATACTTGTTGCATATTTGTGCACCTAGGTACCTTGCACTTGGAAGATTTTACACAGGGCCGAAGTCCTTTAAATTACTTCTTTACATCATCTCCTTCCACTGAAACATACTTCAAGTTCAAACTTCAAGATCTTCAAGTTATATTAAACTACGCCGTACTGGGTCCGTGCCCATTGATTTGCTTTTCCTACCGACGCTTTGGCTGGCCTGCTACCGGGAGCTCCAACCAGCCAGTTTGAGCTTCATGGAATTTCAAGGATAATTGTTATATGTTATTTCTTGTCTATCAAAATTATATATATATATATATGTATATTATATATATTAAGATATATTAAGATATATATATATATACGTATATATATATACATCCATAATTATTGTGTATAATAATAACAACTCCCTTGTCTATCTACACCTGGCTGTTTGAAGTATGTCCCGGGATATCAGAAGTTGCGTGACATTTACATGTCCTGTTTTGCGATCCAGTCTGAATCACAAGTGAAGCAAAGTAAGAAAAAGATGAAAAAACACATGTACATGAGTCTTCAATGTCCTCACTTGGAAGGGGCGCAACGCGATTCGCTGGCTCTTCATCATCGGTTTTTTGCTCCTAGAAAAGCCGCTTTTCGAAATCTCTACGGTCACTAAAAAGTGGTGAAAAGTTCTGGAAAGTGTTTTGATCTGGATTTGCAGTGAGACCTTCAGCCGGCATCTTCTCCTCTTTCAGAACATCTCGTTGCGTTGGAGGGCCAGACGTCACTGTACTATCCTGCACCGCCAGCAACTGCCAACTGACCCCGTGAAAAACTTGTCTGTTTGCCTCCTAAAGGAAAAGATGAAACAAACTAATATAATCTAATATACAGTAGAAAATTGCAAAAATATTCAAAATGATGGAAGCACATGAACAATCATGAACAAAGGAAAGAAACGGCTTTTTATTACGTCTTTGATCAGGACCTCGTAGACCTCCGGCACAGCATCACTGGCTTCACTCTCCCATGCCATCGGAGCCCGAGGAGTTGTTTCCGGTTTGGCTTCAGCTGTTTGAGGATTTTGAGGTAAAGCTTCATGGAGGGCCATGAACAAACATCCTTATACATCCTTGATGTATCTTGATGTGATGTATGTGGGTGTTGGGTGTTGGGTACCGAAAGCATGGCTTGGCATCGACCGTAAACTCTCTATCTTTGCAATCGAACGCAACTTTCTTTGTCTGCGTTTGTCCTTATGTACATTTATGTACGAGTACATTGTGTACTGTATGTATGCGTGAGTGTCTCTGTGCCTCTATGTCTCTGTGTCTGTATGTCTATATCTGTCTGTGCACCGGGGCACATACTTACAATGCGGTGAGGTTGCATAGCTTTAAGATCATATAGCGATAATGTTGATGTGCATGTTTACGCGCCTTGCGCATGTTTGATAGAATTCCGCAAATATGGTGCCATGAATTTGCCATGATGCATGAAATCCTGGCCCTATCGGCCCTCTGGGGTTCGAGCTACTGGTGGCAGGATCGTAGAATCCAAGTGCTGAAGCCGCTGAAGCCCAGCTTGTGAATCTTGTCACAAGTCTTGTTATGTGGCAATGCTGTGGCAAGCAACGCATCCGTCCTTCTTTTTACAAATCCTTCGATCTGGACTGAGCTCTGAAGCTCTTTGAGGCAAGCGCAGCAAGAAGGACAGAGAGGCATGGGGGAGCAAACTGCCAATATTGAAGATCACGGCTGAGATGCCAGCTTGTTGACTGGAGATGGAGGGAAATGGATTGTTGATTGCTGTTGAAAAGTTGTTTCTTGTGATTGGTGACACATGTTGTTTTGATTGGTGTTGTGATTGGTGTTGTTTGTTGTGTCAAGTTAATCTCCTTGAACATGAGGAATGAAGCACCAGCTCTTCTGGTGTCGTCATCTGGCTCAGCTGATGGACATTCCCTGTTGAAGCCTGTCGAGCGGAAACCACCGTGGACGTCCAGTGATGTCCAGATAAATCATGATAAATCCAGACACATACAGAGCAAGTCAAGTATAGCAAAAGCTGGCGCAGAGCCTCTGCAAGAGCTGATCAACTCGATCTGGCATTCATAGATCGAGCAGCGCGAGAGTCCAGGCATCAAATCTAACATGCGCAAAAGATGCCAGAAGGTTTGAGCTCCCCACTTCTGTCTCCAGGAGGCATAAACCGGTTCGCTCCCTCACACACTCAGAGTCCAACATACTTCCGGAAAGCCATGGTCAAGATGGCAAGAGACCAAACTGGCAATGAATTTCAATAGCTCCACAATTCACAGATATTCACAACTAGAATAGACCTTGTAGACCTTGACATATGACAGACCTTGAGTACTCCAGGGGCCGAGATCTCGGTGTCCCTCGGTGTCCCTCGGTCTCCGGCACCACCTCCGGAGTGCATCCGTGCAGTTCGCCTACAGAACCATCGTTGCTGTGTCTATCTGTGAAAAGCATGGCCAAAATCAGGCAAAATCAGGCAAAGATTCTTGAAGATACTACCGAAAAAGAAACTTTAAATGAAACAAAAGACCAAACAAAAACAACACTGCAGTGTGGTTGAGTACGAGACCCTGTCACGTCGATATCCTCCGGAGGCCTTGGAGTTTTGTTCCTCTGAAGCTCAATGGAAGGTACCCCAGTCTGACATCAGAGATGCGCCCAGTTCAAAGTGGATCAACTGGGAGCAGTGCGTCGGGCTTGCGTAGCTATTAACTGCGTTGTTAGCCTTCCAGCATCTTCCAGCAATGAAGAGAAGAAACACACTTCTAAGCACACTCACCAGAATTCAAGTGCTGATTTCAAGCAGTTTCACGCCCGGACCAGGACTTGCCAACATCTTCAGCTTCCCATGATCGGAATGAAATATGATAATAAATGACAAGTGTATACACGTGTCAACTGGTTCAAACCTGAAGCAGCCCAGGTCTTTTCGGTCAGCACTTCAAGTACGAGAGCGCAATCCCAATTTCGCACAATGTCTTTTCGGTTGTGCCGAAAGAAGGGTGATGAAAACTGCTGAAATGCCATCCTCTTGACTTTGCTCGGGCAGCAAGCATCGCAATCGCGATCCCCATTGTACGTGCCAAACCCAACTGCAATTGGGGGCTTATGAGGGTTGCAAGCGTTTGAGCGCCAAATAAGCGCCAAGAATTATACTGTTCAATTTGCCCGGAAAGCTTCAGAGCGGTTTCCACAAACGAGGCACAATGTTCCATGATGACACATTTTGGTCTTTTGATGATCTCATGAGTTGGAGAAAAATTAAAGCAAATGCGCTCCTGGAGTATCAAAAGCCCTGAGGCTCTCCAAGCCCCGACTCGGAAAGTGCGCCGTGTTCTGTTGTCCCAACAAGACATCAGACACGTTGCAAACAGAGCTGTCACCCTCCATTTTCTGCAGCAACCCGCCCAAAAAGCTGGCTAGCTGCCCTCTCGCTCCGCACCCGCTTCCTCCTGAAATCGGCGGTCAGTTCACATCAATAACTTAATGAACTACTGAATCTCAAACACAAGTATATATTGTATAACTCTATATTGTATAATGTAATTACGTATAATATAATATACAAGTATATTGTAACCAACATCAACGAACTATGCAAATAATTGCATAGTTCGTTGATGTAAAAAAAATGTCTGCTCCTGGTCTGAAGCTTCTGGTGAACGGCATCCAATTCGAGCATGCTTTTTCATCCGCGGTCTTCGAGGCGCCTGATGCTGAAGTGACATCCACACCCAAACGACCAGTGAAATGACAAACAACAAGCCTTGGTAGGCTCTGGAAATGGGACTGGCTTCCCATCTTGAAAGATCAATGGTTTGAACTCCTGAACCAGGTGCGAAAGTGTGGAATTTGGATGAATTTGGGTGATAAGTCAAGACCAAACTCGGTGAGATGGTGCAAATCTCAGAGGCATTTGTCTAGATGTGGTCTACTATTGGTTTCTTTGAACTCCCAAAGGGAGCAAGGGGCGCCCTCCTACAGTACCAATCTTCCAAGCAGAATCAATGAAAAGCCATGGGTCAAGTGCATCACCTGAAGTCCGCCTCACAGTTTCATTTATCTCTTCAATGATTAATCTTGAGCTGTAATCTTTGATGATCAGAAGAGATATGATATGACCTTCTACCTGCTTTGATCATTCAGAAAAATGGAGGTTCAATGAGGTTCGGTTGCTGGAAATCCCACCAGGATCCTTACCATATATCTTTATACATTGCGGAATATCGGTTCCCAGTTTCCCCCGTCTTCTGTGAGATTTCTAACAGCTGAACATGACAGAACACTCCGGAAACTCCTCATTCACAGAATTGTGCATCACAGGGCTGTTCCTGGATGACACCAGCTCTATCCAGCTCGTGGAGATGCTCTGAGACAAAGTAGGACATCATGGGTCATCGGTGACGAAAAAAATCATGGTTGATCAATGTTGATCGTCATTTTCCTCATTAATATATATATATATATTAATATTGCCATTTGAGGATGTGAGGGTACCATTCTTGGACAAACCCAGGTGTTGAAGCAGTTCTGTGAGTGTCATCGGACTTGGACACTCCTGTACCGGGAGATGTGGAAATCCAGCCCCTGCTGCCTGAGCGCTGTCTCGCCGGTTTCCCTACAAAATTTCTGATGGATTGGCTTGAATGATTGAATGTCTTGAAGTACATGATTCATGCAATGATTCAACTGCATTCTGCTCGACTTTCCTGTGAAACTGCCTGTATTCTGCATTCTAACTCTGGATGTGATTGGTGTTTACTTGGATTGAATAATTTTTGCTGGATCCCTTTATGCAACGCATGACCTTGCTGAATTTGGGAAATCTGCAAATGCAGATGATCTTGGAATTGGTCAGTCTTGTGAAACCATCCAAGCGTTGGAAATGTCTTGGACTTCATGTTTGCAAAACTTTGTTCGTTACCTCACAACACTCCCTGCACACATGATCAATGCAATGAACTTCGCCAATTGTTGGTCATGCAGATTCTGTCAAGCTGCTCTGGGTTGCCCCATGCCACCTCACAAACCTGTTCGAAGCCAGAAAAAACATGACATTGTACATGGAAGTTCGGGCGGCTTTCATTTGTCATCGTACTTGTTGGCTAGTTGTTACATCTCATTTTACACAGCTCAATCCCTGCAGTGTATGCCTGTTTGACAAGGACAAGAACCCAGCTGATTTGCACCAACAAGATGATTTGGTGATCAATCTCTCCATGCTTTTCCACATGCCACTCCAATCATCCAAACACTTTGGCTCCGTGCAAGGTATTCCGGCCTTTTGGCTGGGGACTTTCCAATCTTTAAAGCCTCCAAGTTTGTTCATCACTTCCAAAGCATCTTCATGGCCTCATGGCTTTAGCGCTGCAACTGCTTTGCTGATCTTCGCGATGCAAACAGCATGGGAATCTGATGGAATCTGATTCCATCCATCATCGGGCAGTGTGTCTCAACCGAGAGCTCGGCTTACCATGTTGACAAAAGCGTAGCCAAGCCCGCTGGAATTCTTGAAGTCTATAGGGAGGTACACAAAGTCATATTTGGCCAAAAAGCCCTGCTCGTCCAAAAGAGCCACGACCTTTGACTGCTCGGCGATCATGGTTGGTATGCATGTGCAAAGAAAAGAGCTCACCCTTGATGATTCGTCTACTTAAACTATCGCTGCTCCTGAAGATGCGGATCTTCAAAAATCAACATGCCGTTGTCTTCCTTCAGAAAGTTTGCGTAGCTGAAGTGTGTATATTATACAAATGTTCCAGCTTAGCAAACTTTCGTTCCTCGTCAACCTACAACCAGACAACTAGATACAGCCTACTGCGTCAGCAAGGCACGTCATTTCTGCCGTAGTTGTTCGGCAAGTTGCGGATCATGACAGTCACCCATTCCGATTCACTTGGAAGGCCGGGCAACTCAAGCATGATTGCAGCATGATGCACAAGATGCAAAGTACTAAAAGATACTGAAAGTGATAATGAAATCTGAAAGTGGACAACATTTGAGGTGTGGAACCTGTTGATATGACAGTGATTCAGCCAAGCAGCCTCTTCACTACTGGCGGGGGTTCGTTCCTGACAGAACTCTATATATCAAGTGAACTCTCAATCTGTGAAAGCTCATCATTCAGGCGCCGGAGGACAAAAATATGGTTCGTCCGTGTGGCTTTCAGTTGCGCCAAGCATCTGGGCAGACTGGACAGAATCGGTCCTGGTCCTGATTCAAGGCCGGAGAAATTGCAACACATCTTTTTGAGAATGATCCAAGATGATCCAAGTGAATCCATCAGTCCTGGGTCGCTCATTGCCACTCTTCATCCCATAGCCAGCAGCCTAGGACCAAAATGGGCCAGGTCTGGATACGGATCTGGATGTAACATGATGTAACGTGCTTCAGCCACATACTTAGGCTAGAGCAGCTGCTGGGTCTGGCAACACCCAGGGGTTGAGACCACCACATGGCATCCCAAGTCCTTTGAAAAAAATTGGAGGTCCCAAAAATGCCAAAGGCATCCCAAAGGCTGCAGTGCGAGACAGAACTCAAAGCTTGGTGATGGTCGATCTTGAAAATCCTAAGGATTCACAAGAGTTTCCGGCTTAAGTGAAGGCATGAGCAGGCTATTGGCTATAGATGTTAATGATGTTATAGTTAAACTTCACTAAACTTTAAGTCGGAATCGAGGTCGGGAATCGAAGAAGCCGGACCTTTCCGGTCTTAAATGATTTATATAAATGATTTAAATGATTTAAATATATTCAAATAGTTTACTGCAAATGCTTAAATGAAGCTTAAATGCCTATCAAATCTATCAAGTCAACGCGCAAAAAACACCAAGGTGCCCAGGTCCCCTTCTCTAGCCATGGATGCCACCATCGATGCCTGCCTTGGTTCGACGGAGCTTCGATTGGAGCGGTCCGCAGTCCGCAGCGCACTGCAGCTGAGCCACTTTGAATATTGATCGGCAATGGCTTGCAAACTCGCAGAGTATTGAGCTAAGCTCTGTGAATTGGCACCTACACTGCAGCCAGGCAAAATCAGGCAAAGAGTGCGATGAAGCGACACTCCAAAAATTCCGCAACATGAAACTGTGCCGAGCATGACATCGCCGTGTTGAACTTTGCCAGTGAGCTTCATATAGCTTCATGCTCCGATCCCATCCAGAAAGCCACCTAGTGGAGGTACCATTGGAAACGGTGGCATCGCCATGGGCGGATAGACACCGGGAGCGCCTGAGCACAACCAGGCATTGGCCCATTGACAAATCTCAGCCACATCAAAAAAGAAAAAGTACCAGTTGAACCAGTTGCGCCAGAAATGTGCCAAAACTAGATTCAAAAAACGTGGCCCATTTTTCCCTTCAATTTGACGTCGCTCAGAATCTGGTCATGCTGCCTCAAGCAAGCAAATCTAGTCCAAGCTAGATGCTTGCGCATTTCACTGTACCAGAGGAGCAAGCCCCAGTAGCTGGTACCTCTACCCTGCGAGAAGTCAGGGTCTACCCTGCCACCGGAAAGTGCTGCACAGCAACACAAGTCTCAAAATCAAAATCTTGACTATTGTTCAGTTCCACCATGGGTCTGTTTCTGTTCGGAAGTCCTTTTCAGTCCATGGGAACAATGCCAAATTGCCGTTCAAGGTTGTGGTGTGAGCCAATGCCAAAGACAACGGAGCAGGCCCACGAACGACCTTGCCATTCTCATCATACTGAGATCCATGGCATGGACAGCAGAACTTGTTCTTGGCTTTGTCCCATGGCACCACGCAGCCCAGGTGTGTGCACACAGACAACAAAGCAAAGTCTTTGATCCCTTCCTCAGTGGAGATGATGTAGTATGGCTCACCTTTCAAGCCTTGGACGAGTTCGCGATCATTTGACTTGTGACTCTTCACCCAGGATGCATACTTGATAGGCGTGCCGTCCAAATCTCCACAAAGCTGTGCCCCTCCAACTCCTGTGGCCACTGGTGGCACGAAGTACCAAAGGTAGGCACCCAGAGCCACAAAGAGAGGAATAGCAGCTGTGCTCACCAGCACGACATTCATCAGCTGTCTCCTCTGTAGATCGGGCACAAAGCTAGCGGGACCTGTTAAGGCCCTGGCCACGCTGGTTTCCTGTCTCTGAGTACCTCCCGGCACGAAGCTTGGAAGGGACAGGGACTGAAGGGACACCAAAACAAATGCGGCCAAGCAGAAGCCCTGAGCTGACTTCATGGACAAATGCTGACGCAATGGAACCATGAGTCTTGCTTTAGGTTCGGAGGCTTGAAGTGTCTGCGACTTTGGACCAAAACGGCTTTCAACATGATGGTGCGAAGGCCATGCAAAAATGCTGCTTGCGTAGAAATCTGGAATTTCACAGACTCAATTCACGCATTCCCATTGCAAGGGTTCAGCTTGGTGCAACCATGGTACCAGCTACATCCTTGTCCGAGTATGATGGCCACTGGTCCTCCGTCATCCAAGAGGGAAAGTCCTGGGACAATGTTGCCCGCACTTGGAACAACTGCATCACAAGATGTAGATAAAACAACCAGAAACAATGAAACAACATCAACATCTGCAGTTCTACTAGTAAAATTGTTCAAAAATCTACAGTACAAACTAGATGAAACTAGAAACATCTAGATTCTAGATCATCTAGAAACCGATCTGTCAAATTGTAGCCCTGCCCCATCGGTCCTTTGCGGACATAGATACATGATCGCCAAGGCCTGGGCACTGCTTCGCACTGCTTCGCACGTCTGGAGCTTGGACAGTTTGGACTTCAAACCATTCAGCTCCGCCAGCGTCCCGCCTGCAAGACTGGGGTCACCAGGAAGCCTCAGCACGAGTCTGTTCACACGTGGAACTACGGTGGATTCACACGTTTCATCACGTTTCATCACGTTTCACTTTGATGGCTCTTCACAGTTTGCTTTCACGGAGCTTTCGCTTTGTTTTCGAATTCGTGTCATCTTCGTGGAGCTTTTGCGCTGCAGGGTTTTACTTTCCCGCAGGGAGGTTACATACGTATATATACGTTACTATATGTCCAAAAGCTGCCGGAGATTTTGAGCGCTGCTCATCTGTACTTGGCTTCGGCTAAGATATTCGTTTGGACATTTTGACGCTAGACTCGTACCACTGAGACATTTTTTGAGTATTGAACAGAATTATTTTTTTGAAATGGGTACGGCAGACTGCACTTTGCTCTCTCCAGGCCCCCACCCGGGCAATGGAAAGGGTGGTGGAACTGATCCTTGATAACTTGGAAATTCCTCAGTGTATCACCATCTCACCAAACATTGTCACGTCAATGGACAAGTGATGCTGTCCCTTTTGAACATTTGCTCATTCAGTTGGTAAAGAATGTGCAGTTCAGAAAAAGGCGCCCGTGCACCGTGTAGCTAGATGCAGACAAATGGCATACTGTGTCGACCATGATGCAGCACCCTGCACAGCTCTCAAAGTTCAAAACTGTCAACTACGCCAGTGAATTGTTGTTTCTTCATGTTCTCCGACATCCTATCCATTATGAAACGCAAACAACCTACAAGAAGTTGTTCCTTTGGCAATGCAACAAAGATGGACTTGTGGCGCTCCTGGGTCTGAAAGGAGGGATTTCCGAGAAGGCCTGCAGTATGCAAAAAGAATAAATTGCAACGAATGGATGGTTGTTTTTTTTAAGAAACGGTCTGCACGTGTTGTCAGACTCAAGAATATCAAGATTTTAGAATTGAAATGTAATTATGTAATTGCATCAAGAATGATGGATTCAATACGATTCAATGTGTATATACTTATACAATAATCGGATATAATTCAATGAAGTATGATGAAGTAGCAACTAAGGGACACCGAAAGCCAGGCCCCTGGCCATCTTCACGAGCTTCTCGTGCGTCGTAATCCGATCTGCAACAGCTTGGCAAAGCACGTCAAAGGATTGTTTAAGGGAAAATCTAAAGGAAACCATGATCTTACCAAAAAATAGCATCAAATATACATGTATATATGTATATATATGTATATATATATATGCTTACGTATATATATATATCCGCCGACCCCGGCCGACGCAAGGGGGAGCGCGTAAGGGAAGAAGAGGTATTGCGCTGCTACTACTTTTAAGCAAGCCTCTCAAACGGGCTAGAAATGCACATAGCCAGTGGCCAGGAGCCAGTGGCAGTAGCAGCCAGCAGCCAGTAGCCACCAGCCAGTAGGCAGCGGCCAGCAGTCAGAAGGCACGAAGCCAGCAGCAGGCAGCCAGCAGGTAGCAGCCAGCAGGCAGCAGGTAGCAGCCAGCAGCCAGCAGCAGCCAGTAGCCAGCAGCCTTCAAAAAAAATCTATATGTTCTATATCCGCCGACCCCGGCTGCGCAGGGGGAGCGCGCCAGGGAATAAGACAAGAGTTTGCCACCGCCAGCTACTACTACTACTACTACTACTACTACTACTCTTGCTGGTGCTTAAGTCCGAGTGAATGAGTGAAGTTGGCTTTGAAAAACAATATTTTCAAGGAAGAGGGGATGAAAAATGACATGTTCAATGTTTCTTTTTAGAAGTTTTCATCATCGGAACTTGAGCCAGCTGAAGAATCTCTTTTAGTTTAATGACATACATGGTATTTAGAAAACCAAGTTTCAAAAAGGTACGAAGTATGAAAACCAAGGACCACGCGGTTGCATTTCAAATGTTCGTCACGAAGGCTAACTTTTCAGTTTTTGACAGTCTGATGTATTTTTCAGAAAAAAGGGCTCAAACTATCAAGGAAAAATAGGATGTTTTCAATGTTCATATCACGGCTTCTATCTTGACGGTTTGCGCCAATCAAAGTAAAATCAATAAATATTTCTAAATGCATGTGTATATATATATTTGGGGGGGGCAGGACGGAACAAAAAAACGCCATGTGAAGCGCTGCGACAGCGCTGCATGTTGTTATGCATGTTTGTTGGGATAGCAAAATAATGTAGTGAAGACTTGAGACAGCATTGGTCGTCGTCAGGTTTGTCAAGCCACATGTTAAGTCACATGGGGTCTCTGTTGAACAAGAAACCTGTGAGTTATTAAATTATTTCTATTCAATTTGCTGTCTTGGTTTCCTTTTTCAAGTCCGTCAGTCAATGTCAGCAGGGTCAGGTCTCAATGGTAGAGCTGAGGCAAAGCCAGACTGCTGAGACAGCGCTGGCTGTCAATGCCAGCCAGAGCTGAGATAGCGCCGGCTGCCAACCTGTCAGACCCAGAGCTGAGACAGCGCTGGGTTGCAGGGGGCGAGTGGTCAAAACGCCAGAGCTGCGACAGCGCTGGCATGACCCACTACGATTTGGGGTTGTTGCATCTTCAGGTAGGTCAGTCAGTCATCGGTGGCATGGACTGGGGCAACGGCTCACTCATGCCGCTGTAGTTCCTCGGCGTTTGGAAGGGCTGTGCATTAGGGCGGAGTGGGAATGGTCGACGGTGGTGAAGGAAATGAAGCTTCCAATTTAATGCGTCCTTTTTTTCCATTGACGCGCGAGGCACTGTCAATGTCATGGATGTGAAAACCGTTATACTGCAGGGTGACAGGTTTTGGCATTGGTTTTAATTTTGAAACTGCTGAAAGTTTTTGATTTCCACGAAAACATCAATGTCTCAGTCATAGGATTGGTCACCACTGCCACGGCTTGAGAACTGAAAAACTGGGGCCTTAGATGGACGGTGAAATGACAATCACTGAGACAGATGACCACAACCGAATTTGAAGATTTTATAATTTATAATACTAGATCTGTAAAGGCCGCAACGCCACTGCCGCCGGTCCCGGGTGTCGTCGTGATTGACAATAATTGTTTTGAATTGTTTACCATTTGATTATTATGATTGTTTACTTGGTCGCCGCCGCCGCTGCCACTCAGATTTTGCAGTCATCCTCGTCGCTGCTCCTCTGCGTGAAAGTATCAAGGAAGAACAAACCAAAACAAACTAAGCAGCAAATCGGCGCAGTGAAATTGTTGAAAGCTTGACGCAATGAATGACAGTCAATAATGAGTTTAAGGGTCAGTCAACTTTCTCTGTCCTGCTGCCGCTGCCACTGTTTCGTGTAGAAATCATGTATGGCCTGGCTGGGCTGGCATGCAGAACGAACATGACATGAAATCAAAAGGGGACTGACTACCGCGCGACGACGACAAACTTAAACGAATCAGAAGTCGAATCCAAGGGGAATCTCAATGAGACAAGTGAGCCTGGCACTGGGCTGCATGCTCCATTTCCAACTCCTAGTGTCGCCAAGGACTCGTTCCAAAAACTGCAACTTGTCCAGGATTGCTAAATTTAAGCATCTTCTTGAACTTCACAAGTAACCAGGCAAAGTCAGTCAGTGTCTGTCCTTCTTCTCCTTGCGCTTTTGCTCAATGAACTCCTGGAGTGATGAATACAGTTTTAGCATTCAGGAATGCAGTGCGCTGCTTGTCGTCAACATGTCGGTCCTCCTGCCAAAGTCGGTGTCGATGCTGTTGCTCCTGACAGTGGAAAACCAAGCAAAGAAAAATTGCACATCATCTGAAATGACATAAATTAAGCAGACATCTGAGAAATGAAGTAAAAATACAAATGTACTGACGATTAATAAGTATTCAGTGACAATGACAATGAACTCAACTTAACTCAACTCATCTCTGCAATGTGTCCGGCCTCCAGCTCTTTTTCCAACCGTGTCACCTTTGCTTTCAGCGCCACGATCTGCTGGCCATCTCTGTTCTCCAAGCCTCTCAGCCTGGAAGGTCTTGTCCTCTTATCCTTGCCATTCTTTTTCTTTTTCTTTTCGTCGCCGCCGGCTTCCCACCATGATGGCCATCCCCATGACCACTTGGATTTTCCTTTGGGCTTGCCCTTGCCCTTGCGACCGTCATTGTCATCGTCGTCGCTGCTTGAAAAATCATCCTCATCCTCTTCCTCCTCGTCTTCAGCATAGCTCTTCTTGGGTTTCGGCCTGCTGCTGGCCGGGCTGACATGGTCATCGTCCTTCTCAGCCTCTCTGGACCTTTTGTCGCCTTGCTTCTGGTTCTGCTTCTGCTTGTCCTCTTCTTTCGCTGCTGATGCACCAGCGGCTGCTGCTGCTGCTGCTGCGGCTGAAGCCGCCAGTTGGACCTGCTGCTGCCACTGCGCCTGCTGCCAAGCTTCCATTTGCAGTGCTTGTTGCTGCATCATTGCGCACTGCTGCTGCTGCTGCTGCTGTATCCACTGCTGTTGCATTGTCATGGCATAAAAATCTTGCTGTTGTTGTTGTTGTTGCAGGTGCATTGCAGCTTGCTGCTGCTGCTGCTGCTGCTGCTGCTGCTGCTGCCGGTGAACAGGCTGCGGCGGCTGCGGCTGTGTCGCAGCTTGCCATTGCTGTTGCTGACCTTGCCCGGTGGCTGGTCGCTGCTCAGGCTGTTGCTGCTGAGTCTGCCGGAGTTGTTGATGTTGCTGCCGCGGCTGCTGCTGCGACGCAGCATTCTGCTGAAAGGGTGGCCCCGGCGGTAGTCTGGCCTTTGCAGGGGGGATCAGTGGCTCAGGCGGCTTTAATGCATGCTTGTTGTACTTGGGAGTGGCAACCATGATGTTGACAGTCCCACGCGTTTGATTTGGCAACTTTGGCTTGACGGGCATCTCTTTTGGCGGCGGAGGAGGCTTCGTCGTCGCAGAATCAGAACCTGTATGCCATGTTTGCTGCTTGTCGTCCTGGCGCCAGTTCCATTCTTGCCACGACGACGACGACTTCTGGTCCTGCCAATCCTCTTGCCAAGACGGCCACTGATGATGGGGTTGCCATTGCCATTTGTCACTGGCGGCCTTTCTGTCTTCCTCTTGCACTTTCATGTCTTGAGCCCCCTTCAGGACTTCTTGCTTCAAGGCCTGGCCGTCCGCCACTGCCTTCTTCTGCTCATATTTCTTGATATCATCGGCCTCCTTGAGCTTTCGTTCCTCGTCTTCCTGTCTCTTTGCTTCGGCTTCCTTCCTTGCCCTTTCTTCATCTTCCATTCTTTTCTTTCGCTCCTGCTCAGCCTGCTTTTTCTTCTTCTCAGCCTCGGCTTCAGCTGCCCTTTTGTTTTCCTTTTCAATTTCCTGCCTTTTCAGTTCAGCTTCAGCCTCTCTTCTCTTATTCTCTTCGGCTTCTTTCCTCTTGCGATCGACTTCCGCTTCACTTTTCTTCTTGTCTTCGGCTTCCTTCCTTCTGCGGTCGGCCTCGGCTTCCCTTTTCTTCCTCTCCGCGGCTTCCCTCTGCTTCTTTTGCTCACTAGCTCTTGCCTCGGCCTCCTTCTGTTTCTCCTCAGCCTGCTCCTTCTGCTGTTTCTGCTTTTTTGGGTCGGGGTCCTTTTTGGCTTTGTCATCCACTTCCCTTTTCACTTTTGGCGCCGCAGGTTTTGGCGCATCACCTGTTCTTCTGGCTGGCGTCTCTTTCGTCATTGGCATTGTCTTTCCATCCGTTGGCACCGGCGGTGGCTTAGATAATTGATTGAGTTTCTTATTCCCAAAATGCTGCGACTTTATGGTAACTGTAAGATAAACATGTGAAGAAGTTTCAATCACGACTTTAAGTTTAAGTTTACTGTGGAGAATTTGATGACACCATGTCTACATAATTGGTTCCGTTAAATGCTGTTATTGAAGGTTCTCTGCTGACTTACTGATGGAATCACACGGGTCCAGTTCTGTCAGTTCATGGGCGCTGCAAAAAATATCTTGTAGACTTGAAAAATCATCCGTCTTTGATTGAGCCAATAATAATGAGTGACAACCAACAATAATCAGGTTTGGCCGGCGTTAGCATCATTTGACTTGCCAAGATGTGGAATCAGAATCAGAACTGATTAACATCCCCAGCTCTGCAATGCCACCGCACTCATAAAAGCTGGTCCACATTGAGGCTGACTGGGATGCCCGAACAATGAAGCCAAGTAGAACCAGCTTCGGCCTCAGCATTGGGCAGGCTTTATGTTGAAATAAAGGTGGCGCTGAGACAGCGCCCTGACTGACTCAGTCGTCAACTTGACATCATAATTATTTTTTCAATCCAGCACCGGGCTGATGCATGCTAAAGGTGGTGCTGAGACAGTGCCCTGACATCAAAACATTTTTGGGCGCTGAGATAGCGCCCTGACATGTTATGGGTGGCGCTGAGACAGCACCCTGACATAATTAATCAGTGGGTGGCGCTGAGATAGCGCCAATTGTACCAGACCCGACTGTGCTGGTAAAATTGTGTTTTGTTTTGGGATGAAATCTTCCTAGTTTTTGGCAACTCTGAGGATGGGGCTTGCGGCGCGCTCTGCCATGACGAAGCTCACGATGGAGGCCCTTGGGCGGCTGCGGCGATATGTGTTTTTAACCAATCCAAAGAAGGTAAACCCATGAATGGGAGGTACCGTCTGTCACGGCGGCTATGGTTCAGGCGCTGTCTCAGCTCCTTTTTTCATTTACAGGCGCTATCTCAGCTCCTTGTCTAATTTAACGACACATGTTTCTTATCGCGATGATAGGGTCAGTTCAAAAATTAGCCAACACGGGACAAACACAAAGTTTTGCCAACTGAGTCTACAGGTCTACCAATGTTTGGGTGAATGCAGGCGCTGTCTCAGCTCCATCGTCATTCATTGGTTTTTCATAAGGTACAGATTTTGATCCAATAACCCCAATTAATCAGTTTTCTGATGAACATTTAAGTCACCTTTTGGCGCCCAAAGGTGACTTCTAGGGATTTCTGGGGTTTCAGTGCTTTTCGAAGTTACTTCTTAGGATTTCTGGGATGTCAGTCTAGTCGCGTCACTGGCTTTTTTGAACTTCAGAACAAACTGTCAAAGGTGTCAGACTCCTGGAGTTCAGATAAATTTACATGACCAGATATTTGAATTTACATGAGTGACTTCTAGGGATTGGCGCCCAAAGGTGACTTCTAGGGATTTCTGGGGTTTCAGCGGCTCAAAGTTCAGTTTGTAAAACCGGTGTTTCTGCGACATGCCCTCCAAAGCCCCAAAGTTGGGCCAAGCAAACCCATTGAATGGCAATCGGTGGATTGACTGGCTTCACCATGTCCGTGACCATTATGGAGGCAAATATTTCTTGGCATTGTATTTGACCCAGGCCCTCTGCATACGAATTTCCCAAGCCTTGCAATTGCAAGCGTCACACTTTGACTTCAAGGCCCAGACCGTGTTTATCGCTGCCTTCAAAGGGCACTCCGCAGTGAAGAAGCCTTTGGTTCCCTCAGTGCGGCAAGCTTTGCAAACCATCAAGCTCAAGGGTGTGGATTCGTCAGAGAAACAAAATTTCCAATGGCCTAAACGTGGCTATCTGTTCCCGGCACGGCGGGGCGCAAAAAAACCCTACATGACGAGGTTTGTGGTTGCACATACAGTGGCAAAGGCTCGGAAAAGCTTTCTCAAAAAGTATGCCCACAAGTACCCAGACCTGGAAACTGGAAAAACCATACGATCACACAGTGGCCGGAGACATGCAATCACTGCTTATGCAGAAAGTGGGTTGAGCCCCCACATTGGGATGGCCTACGCTCAAATCACTTCATTTCGGGTTTACCAGAAGTACGTCGACATGACGCCTGAGTCAACCAAAGCCAACATGAAAAACATGGATAAAAAAGCACGGCTCGGCCGCGTTTAATTTTCACCCGGCCATCAGTTCAGACTTAGACGTCATGCCCCATTGCAGTCAAGACTTGCTTGAGCAAACGGGCCAAAAGAGGGATTGGGATGCTGTTACCAGCTGCTCCCCTGACCTGCCTCTCAGAGACAACCCCGGGAGGAATGATGTCGGGATCGATTCCCTGCAGTTTCAAAATTTCCTCGGTCGTCATCTTACGGTTCAGCCAAGTGAGCCAAAAACCTTTTGATTGGGCACGTGATTTCGTAAGAGTAGGAGATATGCCCTTCATCTTGTGAGCCTTCGATCCGCTGATGTCAGCCACCCACTTCTCCTTGGCCAGGTCGACCCCCTTGAGGCTCTGAAGAACAGCACTCAAGTTCAGGCGCTCAGTCTTGTTGAGGGAGCGGCGGTCAATTCCAAGTTCAGCAGCAGTCTTTGCAGACAGCTTGTTTTGGAGAAACCGGCCCAACGGAGCAGGCTGCACCTGCCGGGTGAAGAAAAACGACCTGATATGACATGATCTGCGTAAACAATCGATGGTTTAAAATCAAAGTAAATGTTAATTACAAGTCGAATAATGACAACAAGACAACCCAGTATCTTTTTAAACCTTCAACTTTCAATCAACATGCCTCATTAGGCCACACCATAGTCAATGGGCAGTCAGCACGAAGACCAACAATGAATAGCCTGGATCTGTTTTGCGGTATGAAGCCATGAGTTGCAGAATGTAGAACTCTCCAAGAAACCTGGTACATGTTTCTGCCATTGGGGTTGCGCAGCGCTTGCAGGACTGAAATCAGAAGAAGCAAGGTGGATGGGTGCCGGTGAAGCAGGCCGGGAACGTTTTCAAGCACAAATGCCTTTGGCCTGTGAACAAAAAGCCAACGGGCCAGTGACATCATGATCTGTCCTGATGACTTGTCTGAAGCACCTTGGCCACTTCCAGCTGCACTGTAGGGCTGGCATGGAAAGCCGGCAACGAACAGATCGCATGTTGGAGATGACAAATAATTCAGAGAACGAACATCATCGTACATCTGACAATAGCCATGCATGTCACCAGAGAGCCGTCTCAAGTGCTCTTCGCACTCACACCCAAAACATGCAACATACTTGACGTTGAGCCAGTCCAGGGCCATCAGTTCTGCCGATATGCCAGAGCAGGCGCTGCCGACGATGAGGCGGCCGCGAGGGTGAATCTCAGGGCACACTGCGGCAATGGTGCCGGCCGCAGTTGCCAAAATCCACTTCATCATGCTCTTCATTGCATTCTCGACTTTTTGCATCTGATTGGGCCGGGGTTGCTTCAGAAGCTGGACCGCCGCTGCCGGTTTCTGTTTCAGCTGCCGATTCTGCACCCTCTTGGGTGCCATGGCTTCAGAAATCAAATCAGAACAGTGACAATGACAATGAATGGGTTACTAAAATCGGTCACACTGTAGCCAAACAGCTTCATCGTTTGATTGTTCCAGTTGCCATCCAAAACAAATAGGATGGCTCCCAGCGACTTCTCCAGCCAGGCGCCCGAGCAGCTAAGCCATGCTTGTGCGAAACCTCAGCCCGCCGCGGTATTTTGAAGATGGGGCTCAAGAATCAGCTTAAGGCTTGTGACATCAGAACAGCAAGCTGCCCACAAAATCCAATGACATTTTCTTTGGACCTCGTCTCCTGTCTATTGCAATGACACCGACTGGACTTTCATGTGCCCGCCCTGCCAAATTTTGACATAGATGAAAACACGGAAAAAACTGTAAATGAATGGCAATGTCATGACTTTGAACATGTCACAGTTCAAGCTGGCAGGCGGCCCCTGTGCCGTCCAAAAGCCGAATGATGTCAATGACCGAGCCAGTCGCTGCTGACTACTGTAAGCTGTTGGCCAGTTTCAGCCAACCAGATGCAATTCATGATTGGCAGTCTGCTCTTGGAGCGCATTGCCGGCAAAACCCAATAGCCGAAATGCAAAGCACTGCGTCGTGGAACACTTGATGCCTGATTGACAATGATACATGGTAGAATTTTCGCCGATCACTGGTATTAAAATGCTTTGCATGTTCCACTGCAACAAAATCAAAACAAGCACTGGGACGCATCCGGTAAAGCTAAGCTAGGCTTCACATCGATTGATTCACTCCTCATCTCCTTCGCCATCAGCAAGCTTCTGGAGCTCCGCCAAGATCGTGGCCTCATGGGCACCCTCTTCATGCTCATCATCATCCCCTTCTCCTGAGACATTCTTGGGGCGCAAGATCTTCGGGCCGCCGGCGTTGCGCCTCTTCTTCTTGGCGGGGGCTGCCTCAGTCCCATCTTCCTCTTCATCCTGCTCTGGCGGAGCTTTTTCGGCTTCACAACTTCCTCAACTGGATTGGTGCCTGCCAGCAAGTTTGCCAGGCTTGGATTGTAGATGGGCGACTTGTCATCCAAGGTATCACGCCAAAGTCGGCGAAGGCACTCGGCCCACAATAGGTCCGCATGCTTTTGGGTGTATGTCACCCCCACATAAGGCACTTGCGCCTTCACGCAATGGACAGCGCATGATCCGTCGGTCTCGGTGGCGTGGACCAGGACCCCGGCGCAGAAAGAGTGGGCCACTTCTGCGAAGAAAGCTTCTGCTTGAGAATGCCATGAGATCGGTTCCTTGGCATCACTGAACACTGGCTTTGGAGACTTGGCCTCGCAGGCCCCCCCAGTCATGATCTTGGGACCCAGGGCCTCTTTTTTGACTTCAGGGGCCAGGCGCCAAACATCTGCATGCTTTGGCAGAACGATGTCTCCGATCATCGAAGCCATGTTCGATTCCTTGCTGTGCAGACGCTGTTTCTTCTTGAGGACCAAGCCATCAGTAGTGAAGCAATGCAAGGATTCGACTTGTTGGACCACTCCTCGCTGCAGCTGCTTCCGGGCCAGCAAGCTCTCCTCGGTGTACTTCACCGAGAACTGAAACCTAGACTTCTGATAGAACTTGCCATCTGGTCCTTGGAATGCATGGCCGATGGATGACTCCAGCCCCGGGCGGAACCCGTCCAAGACAAGCACAATTCCAAGTTCATTCTCATCACCAGCCGCCACGCCACGGGCCGTACACCAGGCCCGCAGCACTGTTTTGAGTTGGTCCTTTTGGAAAGGTGGGATTCGAGTGTGCGCCTGCGAGTTTGCCTCGCCGAAGCACTTGGTATCATAGATCAAGACTGGGTGGGTGCCCTTCTTCAGCTTCGTTGTGGCAAGGGCCGTGCCTTCAAACTCCAAAGCTAAGGTCTTGTACTTTTCCGACATGGGGACAAACTTGATGAATTGCTTCATCCTGCGCTCCAGAGCTTGAAGATGCTCTCGGAGTGCGTCAGGGTCATGCTCACCGGCGTTGGGCACCAAATCGGTCAAAGCAACTTCGTTGTCTTTCAAAGGCTGGGCATCGCCTTCATCACTGCCGAGAACAACGCTAGATGTGGGGTCAGCACCATCTGGCAACGGCGCCTCCAACTGCATCTGTTTGGCAATTGCCTCGAGCATGTCTGCAAATGGGGAATGCCCTACCACTTCCTCTGGCTCGGCCGTGCCCTTCAAGACGTTTTTCAACGATGCATCGTGCCGGGCACCGAAGATAACGTCCTGCGACAATGCTCTGACTTTCTCTGACTCTCTCTGACTCTCGTGTCTTGACGAAATGGTGCTCAAAAATAGCAAATTAAATTTGCCATTGAAATATAAAAAACCCGTGGCTGTTGCAACTGAAGAAGGGGGGCGGAAAAAAGGAAAAAAGGGCCCCTGTCCTCCAAGAAGCTGAGTGTCATTCGAGTGGATTCGCTCTCATTACCCTGCCATTGAATGTCTTCGCCCAGGCACCAAAACTCAAAGTCGTCATGGGTTGCAAGGCCACGCAATGTCTCCTGTCACTTCCAACAGACCCTCACTGTCATAAATATTCTTCAACCAAGTAATTTAATGAACTTTGAATTTGCTTCAAAATTTAAGAAACTACTTTCAGGTCTTTCAGCAAAAACCGTTGGTTGTTTTGTGAAATTTTTGGCGGTCCTTGGATTCTGGGTCTGTGGAGTTCTGCTCCAGCCAAGTGCAAAGCAAATATTTCAGCAAGGATCGCTTCAGCAAGCACAAGTGAAGAAACCCCTTTTGAGTTGAGCCGCTTGACTTTTGGCCACACATGAAGCGAACAGTGAAGTCAGTCGGGGTGAGCTCCTTCGTGCTGACTGCATGTCGCATACTGCGCATGATCCAGAAAATGTCATCTTGGGTCTTCCCTTTGATGCCTCAGTCGGCGCTTTGACTTCATTCCAAACAAAAAACTGGCGAGGGATTTGGTATCCACTCCGTTTTGAATTTGAGGGATTCTGCAAAACACATTTTGGGTATTACATCATTTGTTTGGTTCTTGTGAAAGGCTAGTTATAGTTTGTCTCGTCGTAACATGATGTTTAAACATGACTGAAGATCATCCAGGTTACAAATCTCCTCCAAACATGACGTTTGAAACATGCCATTCTTGCCGTTTTCACCTTCATCGCGGAGAACTTCTGCCAGCAAATTCTCGTGAGCGAAGGCCCTCTTGAAGATCTTGATGGCTGTGTCAACCCAGTTTTCTGAAACGGTGTCTTCGAGGTTGGAATCTATCTCCTGCAGGTTTGCATTGTAGATACTTGCAAGGTCACTGTTGGAGACAGAGCCATGCGCAGCTTCGTAGGATTCCTTGAAAGTCATGAGCTGAAAGATTCTCTGAGTCGGGCTTGGGGCAACCGCGTCATACAGAGCAATTGTCTTTCTGCGCGTGTTGATTGCCCGCCAATACATCGAAGAGTCCGAGCTCATGACTTCAAAGGAAAACGTCGCTGTGAGACACACAGTGCGCCAAGCCCTTAGTTGACTTGCTAGTTTTAAAGCAAATCCATGTCTAACTTGGCCCAAAAAGTTTAAAAAAAGGAAACAAGATTGTATAATAGCCGAGCAACGTCAGCTCAATGTCGTCGGCGCCTGAGCGCACCAGGTCGGCAATGCGGCCAATCAGAGCAATTTCTATCTCTTCAGGTGAAAGGCGAGTCAAGTTTCCGAACTTGTTTTTCAATTCCTTGTAGCTCCACTCCTGCTCCACTGGGACGATGATCATGTGCTCCAAGGGCCTTGGGGACTGAAAGTGGGACACTTTCAGCTGCTCAATGCCACGGGCTGACATCGGGACTCCTTGCGAGCTCACCATTCTCGCCATGTTGATCCAAAACAAGTTCCCTCCGCACTGGTAAAAACCACGGGAGTCAATGGCTTGGCGGTAGGCTTGCTTGGCAAACACGGCCTGCGCGTCAAGAACCACAACAAATCCATGTTTTTGCTGTGTGAAATGACGAGATTTAAGACTAAATTCCCCCAAGTCTACCATCAGTCGGGGACGTCCCCGACTGTTGAGAAGGGCAGGCAGGTGGTATGGCATGGTGCATGAGCGCTGCAGGCAAAACACCCCCTTTCGGTCAACATCAAAGGAAACATGGGTCTCCGAGTCCCTCACCAGTCGGGGACGTCCCCGACTGGTGAGTCGAACCCGGTAAACACGCAACATATCTCGTCAATCCAGGACCGTTTTCCCATTTTTTTTTCAACGAGTAGCCCAGCCTGATGACCAGCCTCATGCTTAGCAGCCCCTTCCACAATTTCCACAGGCTTCATGGTCTTCACATCTGAGAACACATGATGTTGGAGAACCACATCCATATCATGCTCAAACTTTGCCAAGACGGCATCATTGACGTTCAGGTTGCTGGCCTGGAGACTCCACTCCGCCGAAGCGTTTCCCATCTTCTTCGTGGGCTTGGGCATGGCCAGGCAGCACTGAGTGTGAGATCGTCGAGTGAGATCGTCGAAGCTAGGCGCCAAAATGCTGCGGCGGCAAAGAATCAGAAGAAAAATCAACTCTGAAGCTGGAAGATCACTTCCTCTGTCAATGCAATCAAGGACCCGGACCTTCCAAGGCTGGGCCAAGCAATCCCAAGCTCGTGATTACCTGATGTGGGGATGGGGACGGCGTAACAATACATTGAAAAAGGTGATTGCACAGCGGCGCCGCTGTCCATCTCGGCGCTAATCTCAGCTCCGCCAATCCGTTGGTCGGCGCTATCTCAGCTCCGTCAATCTGTTGGTCGGCGCTATCTCAGTCAGTTGGTCGGCGCTATCTCAGCTCCGTCACTTGGTCGGCGCTATCTCAGCTCCGCCAATCTCGGCTCAGTCCACACCTTCCCAGCCTAATCCAAGTTGAGGCCCAGACTACTGCAGGCCACTTGGATCATCGGGCCTCAGGCCAGCAATCAGATCACGGCAGAAAATATCTGTGGCCTTGAACCCTCGGCATTCCTGTCTCGGCGCTGTCTCAGCGCCGGATATAATATTAAATTAGTTTACTTTGTCAATGCAAGCGCTGTCTCAGCGCCGGATATAATATTAAATTAGTTTACTTTGTCAATGCAAGCGCTGTCTCAGCGCCGTTACGGGCGCTGTCTCAGCTCCTCAGACAATCCTTCACAATCCCGACGAAATCAACCCTGACAATAATGGTGCTATCTCAGCTCCAAATTTGAGGTCGATGCTCGTCAGGTCGGCGCTATATATATCTCAGCTCCGTCACTTGGTCGGCGCTATCTCAGCTCCGTCCCCCTGTTTTCAGTCCCCGCACACACCTTCCCAGCCTATTCGTCCTATTCCAAGTTGAGGCCCAGACTGCAGCAGGCCGCTTGGATCATCGGGCCTCAGGCCAGCAATCATCACGGCATAAACTCTGTGAACCCTGGATTCCTGTCTCAGCGCTGTCTCAGCGCCGGGTAATAATATTAAATCTGTTTAATTTGTCAAGCGCTGTGACAGCGCCGTTCAGTCAGGGGCACTGTCTCAGCTCCTCAGACAATCCTTCACAATCCCGATGAAATCAACCCACAATAACTATCTCAGCGTTCTGCAAGTAACAAGTTTTCCCCTGAAACGGGTCCTCAAGGTGAATGGGGTCCTGGGTCCGCGCGCGCGCGCCTAAAAAGCTTCCATTTGGGGCTCTTGACGCGCGCGCGCGCGGACCCAGGACCCCATTCACCTTGAGGACCCCTTTCAAAAGAAATCTTGTTAAGTGTTGCTTTTAAACGCCGCTCTTCGGGGCAGAAAAAACGATTGGCGGACCAATAAGCAAAAACGATATTTAAAGAGCAAACAGAAGTAATAAGAAAACATGAATTCAATATTATATAGAGTTTGACTTTCATCATTTGTTTTTCCTTTTTTTAATATGCATCGCCGGTTGCTAATATCGAATAGCGGAACTAAGTAAAGGCTGCTCAGCCACAAGTAGTGAGATTCCAAAGCCCTTCTTCTTTGGCGGCCAAACTTGCGTTTCACCGCCCAGTCAAAGAGCGTAAGGTTGGACCAAACACTGTCACCAGTTGCATTGAAAATTTAAACTCTATGAAGCAATGATTTTACAGGTGATATCTTTGACATTGACTATACAGGGCCTGAGACTAGATCCACTGAGAGTGAGATCCATCGAAAAAATAAAAGTCGGTCGGTCAAATCAATCTTAACTCAGACTGCCAAGTGAATTTGCTTGCAGTCGTCATTGATGTTCAGTATATAAACGTCGCCTGGCAGGAGTCAAAACCTTTTTAACGTGTTCAACAAATTTCAATCACAATAAACTCAAAGGGTGAATTTACCTGAGATCTGAAACCGTACTTATGTGTACCTATCTGGGTCTGAAAATTAGGGTACCCCAACAATGGATGGTGAAGCTGATGCTTGGAACCCGGACTGCAGCAGCGGCAGCTGCGCATTTCTCGGCCAGCCTGTCAGGCTGCTGACTTGCAAAGACATGCTATATCGGAAAGCCCCTTAGCAAACCCTTGGATAACCCCTTTGTTAATAAATAGCCTCTATATCTTACTCCGTAAGTGGCCAGCGAGAAAAAAGTTTAAACTTTTTTTCTCCCATTGGGTCCGTGCGCGCGCCCCCAAGGCCATCTAAATAGACCCCTCTATATCTTGGATAACCCCTTTGTTAAAGACTCTATATCTTACTCCGTAAGTGGCCAGCGAGAAAAAAGTTTAACCTTGGGTCCGCGCGCGCGCCAAGGGAGAAAAAATTAAAAAAGTTTAAAGTTCGGCCACTCGCTGAGTTAGATATTGAAAAGACAATTCTACTTTCAAGGTGGATATCCTGAATTTGGGTCCTTGATTTTTCTACAAAAAAGTGGAACCCAAATTTCAAAAACAATCTTGGTTTTTAACTTCTCCATTATGTAATAATAAGTCCATGTTTTTGAAGTTAACACGTTCTTCGCCGGCCCGTCCCGAAGCAATCTTTTTCACCCACGGCGACGCTGCTTGGCACACAGATTCCGGGATACAATGGCGAGCTTGCTGAGGAATTTGTCCTGAAACTCACTTGCGTTGACCACATCTTTTCCTGCAACAATATTCTGACTTGCACGCGTGGTCAAGGCAATGCACTGTAGCCCCTGGCTCTTCCTGTAGTAGAAGAAATCTTCCCAAGACGAGAGCAATGTCCACTTAGAGTGCCGCAGCATTGAGGCTTGCACGACTATGGTTGCCAAGTTTGGATTTTCACGTCTGAACAAAGGGCATAAGTACACCTTCCGCTGGATAGCGATGGCTGGGTCATACGACACACAAACACCTTTTGACCCACCAGACTTCAAAAAGTCCAAATCAACCACATGGCCACCACGAAGGCCAACAGCCCAGCGTGTTGTCAAATGGGGGCAGTCAAGTTTTTCCACTACAAATATAGCAGCGTCTGTTGCATCGGCAACGACTTGCTTCCCACGGAGACAATCCATGTTGAGCCACATCATGCTTTCCAACAGAATTGGTTGAGAATCAAGATTGGGCAGGTCCGGACTCATCAGGGAGAACTTTCGTTTCTCTGCCTTTTGCCTGTCCCTATCAAGCTTGGCCCTGTGGTCCAAGTATGCCTGCGCAAGCTGCGCCATGTCTGGCGTCAATTCGGACTGCAGCAACGCCTCGTCCAAATATGCAAGAAGACGATTTTTGAACTTCTTTTTCTCCTGGAAAAGGAGTTCATTTTGGATACTGTCGGTCAACCCAGCAGTGATGTAAGGCTGAGACTCGGCAATCACTGCTTGCACGGATGCTTTGCTGTCAGCACCACCGGCTTCCAGCCGGCGTTTCCTCAAGAAAGCGATCTCGGAATCTTGCTTCTTGGGCCGTGGCACGCCCGCATCCAATCGATCGGCTGAGCTCTTGCGCGGAGCCGCAAAAAGTTCTGTCCAAACTGTCCTCGCAATGGTGCACACGTTTGTGGCATCTCGGTGCCGAAAATCACTCATCACCTTGAGCTCGCACACCTCGTTGCCCTCTGTGAAGTGGTTTCGGCTTGAATCTATTTGGTGCTGGCCGTGGCTGAAGAATTGCTCAACCCCGCTTGTGCTGCAACCTTGCCAAGCAACATAACGAACAAGCACCTCAATGAGGATATGACACGGATGCTTCAGCCGAACTGCCTTTTGAGCACTGGAGGTTTTCTTCACGGCAGCAACCCAGGCAGCAGCATTGTCCAGTCTTTGCTGCTTCGCTTCGTGCAATGCAATTGCAAGGTGGTCCCCAAACTGCATGTCCAACTCCTCAAAACTGAGGTTCAGAACTTGAGCGAGGCGCCTCAAATGAACTTCTTGCGCTGCCATGTCCCTTTCAAGCTTCGATGGCTGTACATCAAAACAAGCAAAGGCACCAAGGATTCCAAAGGCTGGGTACTCGGCGTCAATTGTTTGACACGCCATGTGCACAAACACCTTCATGGGCTTGAGGCTGTCTTCAGTGAGCTGCGGTGTGACAACACCTGCCCCACCAATGCATTTGACACGCTTTCCCACTTTGACAGCTCTGGTCTTCCCCAGCCACTTCAGCATGTGCGAAGTAAACCCAGTTGCCCTGAGAACGTGCCCTTCAAGAAATAAGTACTTGAGCCTGGTCACATAAGACTCCGCAGCTGCGTGCAATGCAGCTAGATCGTGCCCTTCTGAATCAAAATGCCTGGTCAGCAGGAGGGATTCATCAGCGGCATCTGCGCACATTGCCAGCACGAGGAGCTTCGAAGGCGTTACCCAGTGAAGAAAGGAGTTCGCAGTTTCAAACTGTTCCTTGTCAGACTGCCTGTTCACTTGAATCCACGACGCCGTTTCAAAGAATGCTGACACATAGAGACAAAAGCGAGCCAGCGGCTTCTGATAGCTGTCAAACCGGTGGGCTCGCCGGGACAAATTCTTGGCCTGGGCCCCAACGACAGGGCAGTCTAGGCTTCTGTCAGCAAAGTCGGAAAACACTTTGGCCAAAGTCTCTGAATTTTGGATGATGTTCGTCAAGCTCCGGCGGCCAGCAATTACTTTGACAAATGCCTCCTTGATTTCATCAATGACTGACCACGGCCTTTTGATGACCCTTCGAGATGCATGACAAGGGTCCTTGACAATGCACTTGATTGACGGAAACAAGCCGCTTGATCTCAACAATGACATTGCCAATTGTCCATCACTGGCAGCATCGCCATCCAAGATCTCAGTTCGGTGAAGAATTCTTGCCACAAGCTTATAGTCCACTGCCCCCGCCCTTTTGCAGAATTCTGCCAACGCTTTCAGAAACCCTTCTTTGATGTGCATTGCTGAGTGAGAGGCAATGCGGGCAACCCCCAGGAGACCAGCG